TTTGAGTGAGAGAGAAACGGAGAAATAAAGAGAGCCTGAAGCCTTTTTAATTTACAGGCTGTGTGTTGTGAGTTATCAGTGTTCAGAGCTGCAGTGTTGTGGGGCTGAGTTAATTGGCTGAGTAAATAGCTATTCACCTCTGAGGGGTTCAGACCCAGGACAATTAACCACACCCACTCACACACATACACACACACAACAGAAAAAACAAAAATCGAGAACAAAGAAACAAACACATGCTAATTCTGACATGAACCATGTCCTGTTTTATACTATCTAAAATTTTAGGTTTTTCGATTCAAATTTGTTATTTTTAATTATTACTATTTTTAATATCTTGTAACCCATTTTTAAAACAGGGGTTGGTTTTGTCTATAATTTAGCCCAATTTGGTTTGAATAGCTTTACAGTTTATTTAATCTAAAGATGCTAAACAAATCAATACAAGGTATTTTAAACATCCACAATGAGGAATGTAATTTCATAAGCATTTGTATGTATTTCATTAAAAGTGTGGCTCTATTGAACATACTCATAACTTATTATGATTTAATTGTACAATATTGAAGTGTTAACAGCATTTCAAAGTATAATTCTTTCATAGTGAAAAAATGTTAATAATTGAATAATTATAAAAATACGTAATATATGTATTAGTTAAAATTAAATTCATTTATATTCATATGTAAGATTAACAAATTGTTGTTCTACCAAACCTGACTCACATTTTCCTTTGACACTGAAATGTATTAAATTGTCTCGCTAGCAAAATGTACAAGCAAATTAAATCTGATGAAGACTGTAATTGTAGCACTAGCACTTTAATTACATTGTATTCTGTTGTCATTACAATGCAAATGTTTTAAGTCACACTTATTAAATACAGTTTATTAATTTACTCAAATCATTGCATAAAAAACACTGAAATAGATACCATTTCTGTAATCATCTTTCAATAACTTAGCTTGTAACATATCTTTTGTTTGCAGTGGGACATACATTTTCAGTCATACTGTGAATAACAACAGAAAGTAAAAAAAAACAAAAAACATGAAATTACATATATTAAGGCTGCACAATAAATCATGTCAGCATCGATTTTGCTATGTGTGCATCTGCAATAGTCACATCACAGGATCTTCAATGTTGAGTTGGCATTATTGTTTATTGTGATCAATGCACAATTATAATACAGTAATAATGGTTCACCCAAATATTAAACATTACTCACTATTTTCAAATGTTTATGAGTTTCTATTTCATATTGAACACACAAAAAAAAGATATTTTAATTACTCAAATGTTTGAAACAAGTGAAGGGTGAATAAATAGTGAGTAAATTTCCATTTTTGTCTGAACTATCCCGTTAAAGCCTGTGAATGTGCAATAATTTCAACACTACAAAGTTTAAAACATCCGGCCAAAATAAATTATAATGTTTGTAACTTTAATAAAAATTACATTATAAACAATAAAAACTATGCAGTGTTGATTGTTCAATATCTGTATCTGAATACTGTTAGACTCTCCAGAAAACTGTAATTCACTTTTAACTTTACTATAGTTTATTTATATTCAATTGAAGTCAAAATTATTAAACCCCCTTTGAATTTTTGTTCCTTTTTTAAATATTTCCCAAATGATGTTTAACAGAGCAAGGACATTTTCACAGTATGTCTGATAATATTTTTTCTTCTGGAGAAAGAAAGTCTTATTTGTTTTATTTAGGCTAAAACAAAAGCAGTTTTGAATTTTTTTAAAAAAATATTTAAGGTCAAAATTATCATTATACAATAACTTGCCTAATGGGGCATATGCGGAATTATGCTATAGGACTTTTAAATTGTCAGTAACCTTGGTTAAGCGCTTCCGGTGAACTGTATGCAAGTACAAAATCGCCGCGTTTGAAGTCTGTTTTCATTAAAAATCAGCGATCTCCACTGGCTAAGTGATATTCGATATAAAGTGGGTCTCAGATTGTAAAGCACTGCATTAAATTACATTTCCCCCTGCCATGTCTTAAAAATATGAACATTGATTTTACCCCAGTATATTCAATGAAGCTTCTGCACTAGCCTGCCGATTCTGATGGGTGCGTGCGAGTAAACGGCTTTTTGTCTCGTTTTATGCTTGAGCAACTAAATGAATGCCAAAGTCCATTTAACTGATTGCATTTTAATTACATAACAACATCGATACTGTAAAATGAACTGTATAAAATGGAAAAAAAGTCACATTAACTGTTCACAGGAAGTTTATCAGCATGGGAAGAAACGCTAGCTACCCTTCCTGCCTATAAATGTCTCTCCAGCCTTTAAGTTTCACTTTAAGTTGTATAGAAGTATCTTGAAAAAAATCTAGTTAAATATTATGTACTGTCATCATGGTAAATATAAAATAAATAATTGTGTTTAGAAATGCGTTGAAATAATCTTTTCTCAGTGAAACAGAAATTAGGAAAAATAAACAAGGCTAATAATTCAGGGGGACTAATAATTCTGACTTCAGCTGTTTTCTTGTTTAGTTATTTGTTATATATTATTCAAAATCCAGTCCCCTACAAAATAACCCCAATCGATCTAAAATGAAGAAATCTTTCGCATCGCAATATATAGCAGAAATACAAAATATCACAATGTCAGATTTCCCCAATATCGTGCATGCATATACATAGAAATATTATTAGTGCACTATATTTGAAATCTTTAAAATGCATAATTTTTTTTTCACCTGATAGGGTTTCAGATTCAGTCAAACAGTCTTTTCACAATCTGCAACATGCTTGCAACTTTATGATACAAAAGACTGATAAATTCATAAGGTTGCATTTTAAGTGTTTCAAAAGGATCATGAAAGCAATCTTCCCTTTCTTTTAACAAATAAGAGATCAGTGTCAGACCTAAAAACTCTCTTATTAGTCTAAAACCAGCTCCCATTGTAGGCAATCTGCCAATAGGATAGGTTGAGAATATGCCACTATTATGTTTCTAAACTCCGCCTTCACAGTAGATCAACACCTACTTCTATGTAGTGGACTGTTTAGCTCTGCAGTGCCGGTTCTAAAGAGGTGGCAGAGGGTGGCACCAGCCCTCCAAAAATATGTTTGACTTTAATTAGACTTTTCCTGTGCTGATTTAAAGAAAAAAAAAATCAGAAAAAATTTAACTGAAAATTACATTTTACTATTTTACTACTGCTTTGTCTGTTATTACAGATTGTTTGATATACAATCAGTATTTATGCATTTTAACGTAAATCACAGAAGCATCCATCTATGAAAAATCATTCTAAGTCAAACATACATGCATGCAAAAGTTCACAAAAGACATAAAACTGTCTTTTATTTAAATGTCATCCAATCATATCAGCGGGCATAAACATCCAAGTCAACAATCTGCACATTTATTAAAACAATGTGTTGCAATAAAGGATCAAAACCGTACAGAAGGTATTTAACATTCTTTTATTTGGTGTAAAAAGCCTGAAAACATTATGAGTGGACCTCAAAGAACACTACAAAATAAAAATAAAAATTGTAGTTTATGAACCCCTTTTTTAATATATTTAGTCAAACCTTTCAAAGTGTAATAACAATGATAAACAAATAAGCTTCCCTATATATATAAATAATATATCGATATAATCACAATATGTCTAAATTCAACTGCCAACGAATCTCTGCTGTGTTCTGTTAAATGCCTTTAATTGCCTTTTACAACTAAATACTAAAAAATAATAGCAACAACAAAACAGCCCTATTACTTATCATTTTTTTTTTTTTTTTTTTGGTGTAAAACCCATGAAAACATTATTAGTGGATCTCAGAGAACAGCAAAAAATGAAAAAAAAAATTAATATATGAACCCCTTTTCTATATATTTAGGCAAAACCTTCAAAAGTGTAAAAACAATGATAAACAAATGAAGCTTCCCTACATACATATATAAATAATATATCTATATAATTATAATCTAAAATAATTATTCAATAATTTAAATTCAACTGGAAACCCGTCTGCTTGTTCCAATAACTGCCTTTAATTGCCTTTAACAACTAAATACTAACAAATAAGAGCAACAACAACAACAACAACAACAACAACAACAAAACAGCCCTATTATTTATAAATTCTAAAAAAAAAAAAAAAAAAAATTGGTGTAAAAACCCTGAAAACATTATAACTGGACCTTAGTAAACAGCACAAAATGGAAAAGAAATGTTTCCCCTTTTTAATATATGTAATCAAAACCTTTAAAAGTGTAATAATGATAAACAAATGAAGTTTCTGTACATAAATAATATATCTATATAATAATATATATAAATTCGACTGCAAAACTGTCTCCGCTGTGTTCCATTAACCCCATTTAATTGCCTTTTACAACTAAGTACAGAAAAATAAGAAGAAGAACAACAACAAAATGGCGGCCTGGAGATGGGGAACCCAGCGCTAACACAGAGAGCACTTTAGGCCTAATTAACCAATTAGAGAGCGGCAGCCGAGAGATAACAAGGTCCCGTTACCCCTGCCCAGAGGTGAGGGCCAACCTGCTGATTTAATTAAAGGGGGAGCAAAACAATTTAATTACAGCCAAGCGTCCCCGAGGCATTGTGGGACAGTCTCCTTCAGCCCCTGTGGACCTGTTTGAGTCTCAGAACACTAATGCAACACTGAGATAACATTTCAGCAGCGTCGCGGATTCATCAAAACAGCACATGAGCTGAACAACAATAAACAAACGCTCCAGTTTTAATGCTCATTTAGAAACCCAGTGTCATTACAAATGCAATGACGGCAAAGAAGCAGATTGAAAACTGTATGTGCTAATTAATTTCGTGATCATTTTATGCTTTAATAATAAGCAGTTTAGCATAATCACGTGACAGGAAGCGGTTGGCTGATTGGTGTCATGAACACAACAGGGCAGATTAAGAGGTGCGTGGCAGCAAATTAAGCTCATATTCATCGCTAACACAAACATAAACACGCACATACATACCGACAGCAGGGAATGGGATGAACCGCTGGACCAGGATCCTCGTAGCCGGACTGAAATGCTCAGCTCTCTTAATAAGGACATTCAGCCCCACCTGTGCACACATACACAACGTTTCAGGACTCATTTTTTATTTTATTAATATTCATTTTTATAGCATAACACACTGTAAAAAATGCAGGCTTCTACACAATTCATGTTGTCCAAACACAAATTAAGTTAACTTAATTGTTTTTACAAATTTAAATGGTGTGATTTCAATGATTGATCATTGAAATTGTGATTTTTATTTTAAAAATACAAAGTTTGAACAAGAGATTCTACATATTTTGGATTACTTTGTTTGGATATGTATCCTTGTTAATGTTGAGGTAATGCGTTATAAGTAACATACTTTATGTAATAATATTATTTTTTCAAAGTAACGAGTAATAAAATGCATTATTTTTAAAACGAAGTAATTTTATTTAAGTTGCTTTTAAAAAAATTAACAAGTTTTTTTAACCTCGCTTAAATGGCTTTTACAAAATATATTGCGAATTAAAAATGACCTTAGTCAGGTTGAATCATACACTTGATGAGAAAGCGTGCTACGAGAAAACAAACAGTCGGCTAGCACTCATCATCATCATCATCATCATCATGTCTCCTTTTTCACAGCAGATAAGTCAATGTACTGTTCTAGTAACTGAATAATTTGGGATTGTGGTTTATTTTGAGTCAGAGGGAGTATGTTTGTGCTTACTGAAAAACCAAACCGTTTTACAGCAGCTCAATTAATGAACTGGTTCAACCAGTTCACTGATAGAGCCGGTTAAAATAAACAATTTATTTGTCTGTTATCACTACAGACAGTCAGAAACAGAAATAATGTCAGACCGGCAACTTGCATTTTTGCAATTGATTCTTATTTTAAACTCATCGAAGAAAAAAGGTGTATAGTTGTTAAGTGTAGATTATGTGTATAAGTAAAACTCTTGTCAACTGCAAAAAACAGTTGAAAAAAAAAAAAAAAAACAATGTGCAGCACTACACCCGCACCCCACCTCCAGCTAAACAACAAATAATTGACATCAGTTCTCCAGATAAAGCATTTAATTAAACTAAATTCAAACAGAAGGTTTTTGCTTTTATTTTTATTGAGGAGATGCAGCCTATGTCTGAAGTAGAAGCAACTATTGTAAGATTTTTTTCTCTTTTGGGAAATGATTTGCACATTTGTTAAGAACTTGTGAAGCAATTTATTCAATGTTTAAATTAAAGATTTGTTTTGTTTTGGGGATGTTTTTATCGTATTACCGTTAATTTTGTTATTAAACATTTTAAAGGTTTAAAATCTGTTTTTGCTTGAATATAAATTATTTCATGATAGTACTCATAGTTTTTATTTCAGTCTTTATCTCAACAGACAGTGAACTAATAACACAAAACATACAAAAGTAACAAACACATTACTTGACATGCTTTTATCTATATGCACAGCATGTATAGCTCTTGACTCAGAAAGTTCTCAAAATATAATCTTACATTTTTTAAAGGAAAATGAAGGTGCAGGTCATATAGGTGATAGTTAATTACTATATTAAAAAGGTGAAAAAACACCTGCAAGTTCTGAGAGAGATCAAACCTCCAGGTAAGGAAAAGTAACACAAAAGTAACTCAAAAGTAATGTATACTGCATTACTTTCCATAAAAAGTAACTAAGGGATTAGTTAATTTTTGGTGGAGTAACTCAATATTGTAATGCATTACTTTAAAGTAACTTTCCCCAACACTTATCCTTGTAAAGTGGATTAATGAAGAACCCCCAGTTTAAAACAATGGCTGCTTGCAGCCTGCAACAAAATAACACTTGAGGCTTTCTCCACAGCTATGAAGTACAAACTTTTCCCATATTTATCAGACCTGGGATCCTTTCTTTTATTATCTAGAAACCTTTAAGTCTCTAAGACTAAAAGCTTGACTTAGCCTGGACAAAAAATATATAGTCTGCCTTTTTGTAAAATAATTTTGTATATAATGATTTTTTTTATAATTTAATTTAATTTATTTTATTTTTTATTATTTATATTTTATTTATTTAATTAAGTTAATTTTATTTACTATTATTATTTTTGCTTTAAATGTTTGTGTGGGTGTCAGGGTTTAAATACATGAATGATGGATTTTATCTTATTACTCAATGTAAATTTCTGACATGTTTTTGCACAAAAAATGTTCATTAAAATATATTTAAAAAGTAGTTTGAACAAACAGCTAAAAGGTATTTATTCATTTACAAGTGCATAAACAGTACGTGATTTGGAAAAGGACTTCGAATATACGAATAAGGGCCAGACACCTAGTACAATAACGACGTGTTTGCCGCGATTTGTTGCTATTTTCAGACCAGCGCAACCCTAATTTTCACATTTTGCACAACGTTGTTTAAATTGCAAATCTATTTGCGCCACTTTGTGGACTCATAGGCAAAAAATAAAATAATTAAATTGTTATTTACTGCATTTCTTATTTTCTACATAAATAATAAAAACCACTACCTCCAAGTGGCCTTTTCAGTTTATTCATGACAATTTGCATTGTATAATGGTATTATTATTAGCAGTATTATTTATTAAATGCATATTTATATTTGTTTTAATAAAAACATGCTTAGATTTGTCCACCTGTCGGGTTGGAGACGTATGCATCACCATATGCGGATGTGTCTTTAGATACCAAAGTTTTTTGACCACACTTCATTATTATTGTTCATTTATTCGTTTGCTGGAAAATAGAACTTTCCAGGTTTAGAAACAAATTTTTGTGCTTAACAAACAAAATAATATTTGTAGGCTAATAGATGTCTTTAGTGGAGTGCATACAACACCATTTTTTTATATACATGAAAGTAAAGGATCAAAGTAAAGAGTATAAGTAAAGACAAAAGGTGGAATAGTGGAGGCTCATCCTTTATTCTCATGCTACAGATGCTTTGTTTAACTGTTTTCTTGCTAGCAGAGTGTTCAGTTTTCCACTTACAAAGTCCGCCATGTAAATAGCAAATATGCCATGGCGTGACTCGGGGAGAAAACTTTTTTGTTAAATATAAAAGCCATTACACCTTTGAAATGTCTGCACAATTCACAAAACCAACCCTCCGTTATTGTGTGTTTTATAAGAAAATTGAAGAGTTCAGATGCAAAGACCTCTATCTGAAATATTCTTCTAAAATCATTTTTCATAGCCGCCTATTATTATGTTCAGTTATTTCACCTTAAAAGCAATAAATATAACATATTCTATGTCTAAAAAAAATCAATTAGTGAACCTACACACAGGATCCTGAGAAAAATGCTACTTTAGAAGAAAATTTCAGATGGTACTTAGAGGTTTTTGAATCTGAATTCTCCTTTTCTTGCATACTGTAGAAACAAAGATGTGCAACATGCGCCGAGCATTTGCATTACCCAGTGTGCCACAGCTCTGACTTCATATTACACTTATCTGTCCTTTATTTAGATAGTGACATCTCACACATAATCCTAACGGAATCAGTCTTCTGATTCAAATTCAGCCTCATGTCTATTGCAACAATATAATCTTACTCTAATACGACAAACATAAAAATCGTGTTATGTTCATCTGTTTTCATAGTGACCTTAAAAGCACGTAACTCCCTGCGGGCTGCAAGACAGGTCGAGGCAGGTTATGTTAAGCTGTTTCTCTGGTCATCCCAGTAAAAGGGCTGTCTAACAAACATCTGAGAAACAAAGCCATTCACATGCTTTCCCTTTCCCAGCAGGGCTCTTCAGAGGGACTGTAGTTTTAATTAGTGCCCCCTTCCGCATTTCTCACAGGCATGGGGCCATTTGTAGTTGTCGTCACCCTGGTTCTGCTTGTCAGGCCCCTGGGCATCAAACTGCTGCCCAGCAGGGCAGCTAATTGGCTCTAGAGAACACAGAGGGCGGGACTACAGCCGTATGCAATTCAGCAATGTGAAGAGCGGCGTTATAGTGCTCTGTGTGCCATACTGTAAGCTTCGGTCTGTTGGCTTTTTAAGTTAAGATCATGATATAACAAATGACATGGAAGATATTTTTTCTGTTAGTGTGAAATGGCCATTTTAATTTAACTAAAGCAAGCACATCAATCTCAACTGGGTGTTCAACCAAACAAAAAGCACAAAAATGTACAGTTGAGGTCAAAATTATTCGCCCTCCTGTAATTCTTTTCTTTTTCAAATATTTGCCAAATTACGTAACAGCAAATAATTTTTCACAATATTTTTTCTTCTAGAGAAAAAAATGAAAGGTCATTATTATTAGCCCATATATATATATATATATATATATATATATATATATATATATATATATATATATATATATATATATATATATATATATAAAATATATATATATATATATATATATTTATTTTTTTTTTATTGAATGTCTATAGAATAAACTGTTGTTATATAAGCACTTGCCTTATTACCCTAACTTGTCTAGTTAACCTAATTAACCTAGTTAAGCCTTTAAATTGCACTTTAAGCTAAATACTAGACCACTACAGTGATCATGACAAAAATAAAAGAAAAAGAAATTGGTTATTAGAAATGGCTTATTTATTCTGTTCAGATTGAACAGAAATTGGGGAAAAAATACACATAGGGGTTAATATCTGTGGAGGGCTAACTATTCAGACTGACAACTACACACTCACTGGCCACTTTATTAGATACACCTGTCCAACTGCTCATAAATGCAAATTTCTAAACAGCGAATCACATGGCAGCCACTCAATGCATTTAAGAATGTAGACATTGTAAATAAGATCTTCTGCAGCATCAGAAAGGGGAAGAAAAATAATTTATGTGACCTTGAACTTGGCATGGTTGTTGGTGCCAGACGGGCTGGTCTAAGCATTTCAGAAACTGCTGATCTACTGGGATTTTCACGCACAACCATCTCTAGGGTTTACAGAGAATGGTCCAAAAAAGAGAAAATATCCAATGAGCGGCAGTTTTGTGTGCACAAATGCCTTGTTGATGCCAGAGATCAGAAGAGAATGGCCAGACTGATAGAAAGGCAACAGTAACTCAAAAAACCACTCGTTACAACTGAGGTATGCAGAAGAGCATCTCTGAAAACACAACACATCCAACCTTGAGGTGGATGGACTACAGCAGCAGAAGTCCACACCTAAGCTAAGAATGGGAAAGTGAGGCAACAATTCGCACAGGCTCACAAAAATTGAACAATAGAATATTGGAAAAATGTTACCTGGTCTGATGAGTCTCGATTTCTGCTGCGACATTTGGATGGTATGGTCAGAATTTGGAGTCAACAACATGAAAGCATGGATCCATACTGCCTTGTATCAGCGGTTCAGGCTGGTGGTAGTGGTGTTATGGTGTGGGGGATATTTTCTTGGCAGACTTTGGGCGCATTAGTTCCAATCGAGCATCATGTCAATGCCACAGGCAACCTGAGTATTGTTGCTGACCATGTATATCCCTTTATGACCACAGTGTACCCATTTTCTGATGACTACTTCCAGCAGGATAACACACCTCATGTCATAAAGCATAAATCATCTCAGACTGGTTTCTTGAACATGACAATGAGTTCACTGTACTCAAATGGCCTCCACATTTACCAGATCTCATGATGCTATTATGTCAATATGGATCTAAATCTCTGAGGAGTATTTCTAGCACTTTCTTGAATTTATGCCATAAAAGATTAAGGCAGTTCTGAAGGCAAAGGTGGGTCCAACCTGGTAATAGTAAGGTGTACCTAATAAAGTGGCTGATGAGTGTATATAAAAATGCAGCAACACCAAAAGCTCCAAAATTATCAAAATAACAGTGTGTATTGCAGCTGTTTTAAGTAAATCGATTTGATACTTTTGGAGCTTCTGGTGTTGCTGCCTTTTCATATATATTTGAAATGGCAATTTTAAAATGTAAGGATTAAAAGAAAATTCTTTCCATGAATTAAATTACATTATTTGAACTCACTGCGATAGTAACTGCACTGCTGACTGCACCCAGGTAACCCTGGAAAAACGTTGATATTGGCGTGGGCTGGAAACAAATTAACAACATGCAATAAGCGAATTACTGTATATATTGTCGTCTATGATAATGAAGGCCGGTAAAGGGATAGTTCACCCAAAATTAAAATTATATCATCATTTACACATCATCAATGTTACAAACCCTATTTGAGGTATACATTTTATAGAAGTAAATGGATGCTTTATTCCAACATTCTTTGAAATATTATATTTTGTGTTTACCAGAATAAATTCATAAAAGATGAGAACCCCTTGAGTGTGATACATGATGATAACATTTTCATTTTTGGGTGAACTAATGCTTAATTTCAACCTTATTCTAAGGTGTTGTAAATGATCTTAAAAGGTATAAACACAAATAGTCAAGTATTACAATGAAATGTTTTTTAGGTGATTAATAATGAGATGACACGTATACAGTTATCATAAAGCATTAAGGAATCCAATTATAATGCATGATCAATTCATTAAAAATCAGGTCACTCTACATTTTACATTTCAAACTTGTCTGTATATTTACAATGTGTTTGCTGAATGGCTAGCTGATTTAGCATTTAATCAATAAATTGCACTAGTGTCTAATATGAAGTTACTAATACTTATTTTTTAGATACTCTTTTTTTCCCCCAATTAAGTGCTTATTCATTAGAGACTAGTGTTTATTCTTTAGGGCACACATGTCTTTTACTAAATTACCAGTACTTCTTAAATTCTAGCACACATTTATTAGATACTAGTACTTACTCAAAGTTTTTATTTTACTAGTAAGATCTTAATGGAACTGAACCATTTGGACTAGTTATAACATAAGATGAATAAAAAGCAGATCTGTCTACTAAGATAATAATTACTAGTTGTTTTTAGAAAGCATTCTAGTGTCTAATACCCGATCAATAACTACATGTGTCTATTAAATAATCAATAAGTACTAGTATCTAATAAATAAGCACTAGTCCCTAATGAATAAGTAGAAAGCATTAAATAAGCACTAGTTTCCAATGGACTAATACTAGTATCTAAGTATAAGTTTAGAGCTACAGTAGTTGTTATACTATATAATAATAATTAGTAATGAACATGCAGAGTAGGACTATAAAATATATACATTTTTTTATCAAATATTTTTCCTGAGATAATGTCTGTGCTATCCAACAAATAAAAGATTTTTATTTATTTTTTGTTTTTTATTGTTATTGAATAATATGGTTACAAGTGGTACTGCAGAGGTTGTTGGGTATGTATACATGTTTGGATTTCTCTCTATCTCAAAAAAGAAGAGTTATTTAAGAAAAAGACTAAAGATTAACAATGACTACACTAAACGCATGCAACCATGGTGTAGGCAAGTTTACAACGCTGTGCTCTTTACAGTTTTGATTTCATAGATGTTTTCTTATGTTTATAAAGAATTTTGAAAGATCATAATGAACTTTAGTTGGTCACATAGACAATTTTCTTCAATTATTTAAAAACCTGAGGAATATTAGATGAAACTGATTATTAGTGAAACTGATTAACAATTACTAATAAACCTTTAGATTTAGATCTGTTGTGAGCTTTGAGATTATTAAATGATTACATATGCTCTTCCAGTATAATATATGCACAGCATATGGCACGTGAAGTCACCATATGTTGCGTTATGTGTGTGCACCTCACCTTAGTTGCATTACGGTTGCAGTAGTTGACACAGGCATTGTGGCTCTGGTTCAGCCACTGTGAAAAAGACACTGAGATTTATTTCCAACACAGGCTCATTCTCATTTCACAGCAACATTTTAGCAAAGGAAAACTAAATCTAAGACTAAAACTATTGGCCAAATAACATTTTCGTTAACTTAAAAAAAAACATTAAATAAAAAACTAAAACTGAAAAACTAACTGTAATAAAAGATTATTTAGCAAAAATAAATAATAATTTCTGAATTATTTAGCACTCATTTTGTGGTGGAAAATCAAAAACTGTAACAACTGTAGATGACGCTTATAAATTACAAACAAACACATCAGTCTTGCGCATAATTACATATGAAAAAATTTCTACAAACAACACAAAGTCATATTTAACTAATATAGTATGGCAAACACTCAATACACAAGTAGATGTCATAATACATTATACATAGACATTATCTTTTTGGAAGAACACTATACACTGTATAACTGCAGGTTAACTATGCTTAAATTACTATACGCAACTCCTTAGCTTTTCTCATTTTGACTAATATAGAAATCATGTGCACCTTTTGTAAAGCTGTTTATGAACTATATATTTTGTGAAGAGTGCTATACAAATAAATTTAAATTGAATGAATAATACAATGAAGTGTCTGAATAATTCACAATTTTTACTTTTATTTGTTGCATTTTTATAGATTTGGATTCAGTATTTGTTCAAACAGTTATTTTATCATTATTATTTTTATTTCTTAGGGGTTTGCACAAAAATTAATGTAAGTGCAAACACTAAACTTTACTTTGGTTGACACTGGATGTGTTTTGCTAGGTCTGCTAAACTAAAATTAAATATGCACTCACCAGCCACTTTATTAGGTACAGCTTACTAGTACTGGGTTTTACCCCCTTTTGCCTTCAGAACTGCCTTAATCCTTCGTGGCATAGATTCAAAGTACTAGAAAATATTCCTCCAAGATTTTGGTCCATATTGACATGATAGCATCACACAGTTGCTGCAGATTTGTCGGCTGCACATCCATGATGCGAATCTCTCATTCCACCACATCCCAAATGTGCTCTGTTGGATTGAGTTCTGGTGACTCATGGGGGCCATTTGAGTACAATGAACTCATTGTCATGTTCAAGAAACCAGTCTGAGATGATTTGGGCTTTTTATAATCTGAAGCTGCTTTGACACAATCTACATTATAAAAGCGCTATAGAAATAAAGATGAATTGAATTGAATTCAGAGATGCTCTTCTGTTATTTGAGTTGCTGTTGCCTTTTTATCAGTTGGAACCATTCTGGCCATTCTCCTCTGACCTCTGGCATCAACACGGCATTTGTGCCCACAAAACTGCCGCTTACTGAATATTATCTCTTTTTTGGACCATTCTCAGTAAACCCTAGAGATAGTTGTGCATGAAAATCCCAGTAGATCAGCAATTTCTGATACTCAGACGAACCTGTCTGGCATTACCAACCATGACACTTTAAAAGTCTCTTAAATCACCTTTCTTCCCCTTTCTGATGACCAGTTTGAACTACAGCAGATTGTCTTGACCATGTCAATATGCCTATTAAGTTGCTGCAAAGTGATTGGCTAATTAGAAATTTGCGTTAAGCAGTTGGACAGGTGTACCTAATAAAGTGGCCAGTAATAAAAATTTGTGAAACTAACTAAAACAAAATTAAAATTATATTAAATGAACAGCAAATTCTAAAATAGAACCAAAATATAAACTCATTCAGAAGTGCTAAACTATAATATCCTTGGTTTAAAGTAAACATAACCAGAAAAGAAAAAAATGAAAAACACAGGTATACCATCCATACCTGCCAAAAGATGGTAGAAGAAAATGTCTGATTGGGTAACAATAGGCCTACGACCTATAAATGGAAGAGTAATTCATGGGAAGTGATTTAAAGTTTACATCCAATGACCTATACGAGAAGAAAAGTTGAACATCTCTTACAATTACCTACCACTGGAGTACCAAAGGGCACAAAACCTGAAATAAAAAAGAAAAACATACACCAATGAAAAGAACAAGGAAGGAGGTATTCAGATGAAAAATTAACCCCTGATCCAATAATGTAATACCTCTAATAATGTCATTTTGACATTTGAATATAGTAGATCAGGCCACAGAAGTACATTACATGCCATGTTTACTTTAATGATCAGGATTATAGAATCTCATATGACTTTATTACTGACCTTTAACACATTAATAAAGACCTCATTACTCATAAAAGATAGCATGGGTCAGGGGTAGCCATCATAATTGTCAGGCAGGTCTCTCTCTCTCTCTCTCTCTCTCTATCTATCTATCAGTTCTCTCTTTAAATAGTGGTGTTAACAGAAGACTAAAATACTCCTATTTCTGAGTGGCCCAACAACACTTCCAGACAGCAGGAGGGAGAGGCTTTAATCAGAGCCCAGCTGAGTGTGACCTTTGCCAGCAGATCTGTCCAGTGAGACCCCCTACCACCCAACTCAAGTCTCCAGAGCTGGTAACAAGCAGAAAACTGCCTACCACCCATGATAGAGACACACACACAGACAAGCAAGTCGAAAAAAACACCCTCACACCCTTACCTGACATGCGAAAGGGCATGGGGATCTTCTCTCCTGTGTCTGGATGGATGATGGCCTGAGGATTTAATGAATCCACAGACAGTAGACAAGATGACAAGGAAGAAACCAGAGGGAATAAGAGGTGAGAGGAGACTGATGGGAGATTTACCGTGTTGAGGTTATATGCAATTTTCCACTCATTACACCACTATTCTGGACTACAGCTTGAGAGTGTGTGTTACGCTGCTCAAGTAGATGCTGAGTGATTTGAGCATGTTCTTTCATCAGGCACCTGTAATAGGTGTTCAACAGTGTTCACACTCACCTGCTTAATCTTCTGGGCTTTCCAAAGCTAAACACAGAGAGAAACATTCAAGTTAACAAGAAATATAATTTTTTTTGACACAACACACATATTACCTTTTAGAATCTGATAGTTTGATAGGATTGGACAGATTGATGTTCTCTAATAACTATATACACTTTATTGGCAACCATGATTCTATGAAGAAACCAACTCAGGCTTGTTGGAAATACATGCTTCAGACTACGTTTTTGTGAAACCGCAATTTTTTTTTTACTTCAGCACGTGTTTGATTTCAGCATCTTGATAAAATGAATGCTACAGGACAGTATGGTAGACACCAACCATAATTGTTCCTTTTCACACTAATGATATCTACAGAAACATATTATCAACAAATAAAGGATTATTTTACAGTTCTTTGCACAACACCAAATAAAGACCACAGAACAACTTAATGGCCCGGTTTCAACCTAATTTAACCTTAACCCTAAATGAGAGAAACTCTGGGTTATCCGTTTCAAAATGGCAGGTTTTTCAAACTCGAGAAAGCAGAGTAAGTCAAGGCTGTTTCTGAAAGAGAGGTAACTTTTATTCAGAGTAAGTTACTGTGGTAACTTACTCTGTGAACCAAACCTGGTCAGGAGCAGGTTTTATTCTCTAAACTCTGAAGCCGCCTTTCCACTGCAGATGACATTTGGACATGACTGTCAGAATACGCCCCCTTGTGGCAGCCGCACAGTATTTTCAGTGTTGCCGGAGAAGCTGATTCGGTGTCCGAAATAAAGGAGAGCAAAAGCAAGAGCCTTTATTCTCTGTGCCGTGCGTTTACATAGTTTAATGGATGAATAAATACTAGAAACTCATAGACCACTAAAATATTGGATGGAATGTGGAGACAACATTTAAAATATAAATTTTTATAACTTTCTTACATTTATGAACAAAAAAGATGTTTTTATATATAGACTTTTTATAATTCAAAAAAATAACCAAATAAACTCCTATTTCTCATCTAACGCACGGATCTGCTTAGACAAATCTGGAATACATCACATCCGGTCGGCAGGTTGCATACGGTCTAGTCGCAGGAGTTCAAATATTTCAACGGATCCGCAGCTCAATTCGGATCCGAATTTTCCACATACGGAGATGATCTGAACTCAGCAAAGCTCCCGGACTGCTCTCAATTGGAAATGAATGACTTCCGGTCTGTTGCTTGTCGCTTGTCGTGTGCAGTGGAAAGGCGGCTTAAGTTTCTGTTGGTCTCTTTCCCTTATTTAAAGACAAAGCGGTTCTTCGCTCCTTGGCCTTAATCATTCATTGCCTATACATTTCAGTCACACAAAGAAAAAAAGGTTACGAGAATGGCTTGTCCTTTTTTAATAAATAGTTAGCTTAAATTTACTGACCTATGACAGGGACATGTACTGTAACTAGATTAATGGGATTATTACTCGTTCTAAAAACAGTTTTTTAGTACAGCTTACATTCTAAATGTCATATCAACCTCTACTTCTTGATTATTAAAAATGGCAGACACACAAGTGCACTTATAAATCTTTTAAAAACTCAATTTTAGACATTTTATCCTAAACTGATCAACGTGTGTAAAAGTGGGAACCTTAAATTAAACATTTCCACTAAACATTAAGCTAAGGTTATATGCATTCTTGTTTTGTCAAATGTGTTGTAGAAAATATGCATTAGTCTATTTTATGTAATTTAATATAATTACATAGTTTCAAGTGAAAAGTCTATAAACCTCACACATTACATTAATTTTTTTTATTCATTCATTCATCTTCTTTTCAGCTTAGTCCCTTTTTTTTTAATCTGGGCTCGCCACAACAGAATGAACCGCCAACTTATCCAGCATATGTTTTACGCGGCGAATGGCCTTTCAGCTCCAACCAATGTCAGGGAAAAATCCATAAACACTCTCACACACACACACACACACGCACACACACGCACACGCAGACACACACGCAGACACACACGCAGACACACACGCAGACACACACGCAGACACACACGCAGACACACACGCAGACACACACACAGACACACACAGACACACACAGACACACACAATTTTAGCTCACCCCAATTCACCTTTATCACATGTTTCTGGATTGTGGGGGAAGGTGTAGCACACAGAGCATACCCATGTGAACGGGGGAGAACATGCAAACTCCACACAGAAATGCCAAATGACCTAGCTGGGGCTCAAACCAGTGACCTTCGTGCTGTAAGGCAATTGTGCTACACTGCGCAACCGTGTTCCCAACTTTTTTAAAATTATACTTAAATATTTAAATACTATCAATATTTTAAATGAAAACTTACGCATTAACTTAAGCAGCTATGTTTATCCATGCTAACTGTCTCTGTTTTGCCGATGCAGTGGTGTTGCTTTTCTATTTAATGTATGGCCATATTTACTATAAATTTGTATGAGCACATCAAGTTCAGGTGGAGAAAAAATTCTGATCTGATTTGTAATCAAATATGTTTGCCTCACCTATAGACAGCTTTTCTGGTGTGGTCAGTTTGCTTGTAGCTCACATTGTAGCCCCCTACTGATTTACTTTAGACGAAAATGTAGGCTGAGGCATGTACTTCCAATGTACAACACTTCCAATTATACAACTCTGTTTTCAACTAAAAATGGAAAACATTTTATGCATTTTGGATTATACATTGTTGGTAATATATTATCAGGATCATTTAAAGTATAATTTAGAAGATTACTGACAACAAAAATCATTTCCATTTGTTGAATATAATAGACTAAATTACATAGAGCTTACAAATGTTTCATCAAATGTTTTGTGTAACTGGGAAAACCTCTGGATCCTCTAACATTTACATTGCATTTGATGTAGAAAGTTATGGATATTCATAAACAACAATGATCATCAGAACACAAATATATATATATATATATATATATATATATATATATATATATATATATTGTGTCTCTATTATCTTATATAGCTTTTCATAGAAGATGACAATTGATGCCAAATCTGAAATACTTCACAACACCCTGACAGAACTAGAATGTTTTTTTTTTCCTTCATTCTTGCATATATGACATTAATTGATAGTAGCACAAATTTTCATACACATCTTTCAAACAGAATAAAACAAAAGACAGCTTATTGGATTTCCTATGTTACTTGATTATGCTATGCTATCTTGTTTCTGGATGTCACTTGTTTTGTATTCTCAATTAAATCACACGTGAATGAGCAATGATGATCAGAAACCAATGTCTAGTTTAATATGTTTCTTATCTATGGCATAAGATTTTAGAAGGGCTATTCTTAATACTGATTAGTTGTCAAAATCTGACATAAGAGAGTACCAGTTGGTTTAAACAACAGTTTATTACAATAGGTCTCAAACTTACCTGTCCATTAGTCACACCTGGAGGAAGAGTTCCATTTTTGAACTGATCCAGGAGTTTCATACATTCATTTAAACGTCTCTAAATTAAAAACAAAGCAGACGGCATTTACAATCTAGCTAAACTATCAACGCATTTGTGGATGACTACAACTTACCCCTGATACAAAGAGTGTGCGAGGGTCAATCACATCCAGGAAGTGTCTCAACCTACCATAAAATGATCCCTGAAATGACAGCAAAACAATAGCTCTGATTCATTACTCATTTGCATAACCACAGTTTTACTTATGGTTTTACTTTGGTTTACTATAGTCAGTGTATAATCATGGTTAATTTGTGGCTATATATAAACATATCCACAATATATAATATATATCTATGCAGCAGTTCTGTCTGGTTCTCGAATCTGACTGGCTGACAGTTGTGAGATAAGAAAGTAATATCAGCACTTGAACAGTCTCTTCACCCTTGTGTATTACTCCGCTCACACAATTTAAGCAGAGGACTACAGTTTGATGAATATTACAGCTGTTGGACAACATAATGTACTTCTAAGGCTTTTTTAGGCAAGAATGTAGTCGTTTAGATTAAAACTGCAGTTTATTTATAAGGATAGTGCCTATTTTAAACATTTAAACAAAATTTTGGAGATTCAGCATGTTAGCAGCAAGCCTGCCATACCAAGCAGAGCAAAGATTGTTGACAATCCGCCACAAGATGGTGACAGAAACCCCATAATAAGTAGAGAAAACCAGTATTTTTAAGTGTACATTGCGTCCAGCTGAAAAAAAAAAATCATTACAGAACAGGTAAGTGACATTCAAAGTTGATCTCTCTCTTTTGTTATTGTAGTGCTGTATTTTTACCATGGTAATCTGGTAGTGTTTGCTTTACTTTGGTTTTTCGGCGCTAATTATTGTGATCTCCGGATTGCAACAGAGAGATAATGAGAAATATCTGTAGACTGATGGCATTTTATGCTGTTCAGCCTTATAATCTTAAAATATGAGCAAAATAACCCATTTTGTCATCACTTTAGACATTGCGCAAGAGAATCATAAAGTAACTTTGGGGAATTAGCACCGGTTTCTGTTGTTCTCATGGTCAACTGCAGATGTGTATGAACGGCGGAAGAAAGTAGTTTCTCTTACAAAAAGTCTAAATGCAGTATTACACTCGTAGCAGTCTAATATGGCTACATATCGAAACTAAGGTATTCGAGCCATATCGCACTGCTACTCATGTGTGTGGATGGATGGATGGATGGATAGATGGGTGGGTGGACGGACGGACGGACTGACGGACAGACAGACAGAGAGACAGACAGACAGACAGACAAAAATAGATAGATAGATAGATAGATAGATAGATAGATAGATAGATAGATAGATAGATAGATAGATAGATAGATAGATAGATAGATAGATAGATAGATAGATAGAGAGAGAGATAATATCCGCTGTTTAAAATATGAGCTGGAAAAGTTGGCGGTTCATTCTGCTGTGGCGACCACTAAGGAATAAAAGGACACACGAGGTGCAAACGATGCATGTTTAAAAAGGTGGACAATGATAACCAGGCGGACTGGCCATCTGGCAGAGCGGGCACTTTCCCGGTGGGCCGACGTACTTTTTGGGCCGGGCTGATCATCGTCTTATGATCTGATCGGCCATTAAAAGGCGTAACAGCCTATCGTTTTTTTCTGCCTTATTAATTGACGCTGCTGTGATCTGTGACTCTTTGAAAGTGAGATGCTTTTTTCCCGGACAGACAAACCGGGCCGACCCATGTGACACTCTGCAGCCCATTGGCTCTTTTCGGTATTGACGTTGGGCTGGTCCAATCACAAACTCCTATTTTGGACTCCATGTGAGAGTGCGTCGTCTGTGTGTATTTGTCAAAATAGTCGAGAGTCAGAGAGAAGAAACGCAAGGGAGGCGCAGAGAAATCGCGGGAAATACACCGGTGTTTCATTTAGCGGTTCAGAAAAGTTCTCCGTTCATTCTAGTACACGGCTAAAAGTGCAAATCACGCGACCACACACATGCCCACTCTCTGCCAAGAGCCAGTAGTTCAGCGGGTGAGCATAAACCCCAGGTGAGAGTGTAGTGCATGTCAGACAGTTCATCTGCTGGATGATCTCATCTCACTATAGTTGTTAAACGTGATATTGAATTCATCTTGTTGTCTCTATCTAACAATTCTTATGTCTTTTGAATCACTTGTTCTCAGTTAACTGTTTTGGCTGAGTGCAAAGATAAGCTAATATATTCATTTATGTAACCACATACACTGATTCTGCACATTGACTGATTGCTTACCTTTATCGTTTAAATTTAATGTACATATACTGTTATAATGGCCATTATTGGTTATTAAAGCTGATATTCTGCAAAAGAGACGGGGTAAAGTTCATTCTTTTCAATGGAAATGAAAGGAGACAGTTATATTTAAGCCCTGTTTTGTTATAAATATGCAGAGTGAAGATGATGCTCATATAAATATGCAGCTACACGAGGCTGTTTGGTGTCTGTTAATCAAAATATCAAAATGAAACAAATTTGACTTATATTATGTTTTCATTGTTTAGATGAGGATGAGGTGAAAGAGGTTAAAATGTAACACAGTTCCCTTTGAAGATTTAGCCATGCATTAGCAGGCAGTTTTTTTATGTTTATTATTGAATATAGGCTGAGTGAATAGCGTATTGAATAAGCTAAATTGGCTGGAGTGTATGAGAGTGTGTGAATGAGTGTGTATGGGTGATTTCCAATATTGGGTTGTGGCTGGAAAGGCATCTGCTGCATAAAACATGCTGGAATAGTTGGCAGTTCATTCCACTGCGGCAACCCCTGATAAATAAGGGACTAATGCGAAGAAAAATAAATGAATGAATAGTGTATTTTTTAGAACTCAACAAATATCTTTATGGACAGTATACAGAAATTAAATTGAGATTAAAGTTTGTATTTATTTATTTATTTCATATATATGGCTTTTGTGTTTTATAGAATATGAGTTGATAAAAATATTGGATGTGCATAGATAGATAGCATTTTGATTTAATTTAGTGGGCCGCTCTGGCCCAAAATGCCAGGGCCGATTTTTTGCCCCAGTCCAGCCCTGATGATAACTACTTAGATTTGTAAACTAATGAAACTGACTGTTAGACTACAGTTTGCTGGTTAATTCTTCGTGTTTTCTGAACTGTTTGGCAGCGCAAGAATCCATGTATTCTAAAACTGGGCTAGTCGCCTGAAGGGCATGGTTTATGTGAAATAAGAACAGTTCTTCCGTGATTAATAATCCTGATTATTAATCATATGTTCACAATTATAGGACAAATTATTTGTGAGGTCTCAGAAAGTTTCTCCAGACGCGGAAATCAGCTGCTGATGTAGACTCTGACACCAGGGCCAAGCCAGTTGTTTTCGCGCGCCAGGTGTGTCCGCCTCATTATGCGCGCGCACCAACTGTCTGCTGCTTGATCCGCAGACCTAAAAACTTCTTTCAACGCAATTAAAATCGTCAAATGTGCGTGTGAAACGAGAAATACAAGATTATACATATTCTCTGTTTATCACGTCTAACAGACGGCCCCTTGCACATATGAAAAGCGGTACCGCTGGAGCAATAACAGCAGATGTGAATCATCTGTATTAAATAAATAAATGAATGAATAAATAAATTACCTTATCGTTCCTCTTCCTCTAAGGTTAAAGTTATTGAGTCACTAATACATATAAAATGCCTTAAATTGTTTTTTGTCGCAGTGAGTGTTCTAGTTTCCGCGTGTTTTATTAGAAAGTAGTTGCTGAAGCAGGGAAATAATGAACTGACTTCATGAGCTATCTTGCTACGGCACCCACAAGTAAAAACATAACATGTAAAGATGTCAAGAAGTTCTCAAAGGAGTTAAAAGCGGCATATTAACTACATTTTTAGGGATCAGAACAAAACAGTCCCCATGTTTTCTGGTTACAGTACAAGCAAGCACTTTCTGTTATGTTATATTATATTTATTTTTTTTTATTATTAGGCCTGTGTAAGGTTTTGGGTGTAAATAACATCACCTTGGACTTAAATTTACCTACCAGAAACACTTTTTGATGGAACAGTGCATTTCTGACAATATTCTTCAGGCCTATACAGTGCCCAACATGTATAGGCCTAATACACCACCTCACAAATCTCTAATTTTAATTGCAAATTTTCTTTACAATGCTTTACAATATATTTGTGAATTTATACGGTATACAAAATACACAATATACATTATACAACATACAATATATAGATTTGTGAATATATACATTATATACAAAAAATACACATTACATTAAATTAGTCAGTACTGAAGCCAAATATGGAGCTAAGTCCAAAAAATAATTTAGCCTATATGTTAGTGTAAAATATTATATATATATATATATATATATATATATATATATATATATATATAACATTTTGTAGAAATTTTGTAGTATGTCATTTCCCCCAATATCTTGAGTGAATGTAAATGTATTATCTTTCTATTTTTAAAGATGTTTGGTGACTAAAATATATTTTAATAAAAACATCTGTTTAATAATCTGTGTAAACACCAAAATATAATACATATATTCACTGAGAAAAATATTAATATTGTCCTAGGCAACAAATTTCATATTTTAAAAGTAGTTTTGTCACCAACAGAGGTCACTGTTAAAGCGACTTGACCACAGAGTGAGCCTATGGCAAGCCGTTTTACCATTTTACTGCTGACCTTATTTATTAGCGAAATTAAAGGCTAACCAGTATGTATACATTAGACACTGATATTGTTAGACACAACTTATTCATTAGACATTAGTCGTTATGCCTATTAAAAAGAATAGAACGTATTTTATTAGTCAATCTTTTGTTACTATTGTTCAATTAAGTTACCTTAACTTTTTGGGTTTTATAGTGTATTAAAAACTGTTTAGTTTTCAACAGTATATTTCAGCTATGACTAGAACAAATTTTATATTCATTGGGTACTACAATTTAATTGTTAAATAGTGGTCAGCACGTTAACGTTACGACCCCGTCGACCTGAGTTCGAACCTGACCTGAGTTTTTTTTTTTTTTTTTCATTATTATTGTTAAGACATATAACACTGTTTTGGTTACTTATGTATGTGTACATATTTTATTTTTATTATTTGTGTGACCACCGTTACAAAGGACTGGATATCTATAAAGAGTTTAGCACAGTATATTTATTCAAATATTGCACTGACGTGGGCCAGTCTAAGGCTTGAAACTCCAGGGCTGAAAAGGAGTCCCACTCCAGCCCTGCTTGACTGCGTGAGATCAATCGAAGATTAAAACATGACTTCTCTGGACAGAAATTTAAACTATGGAGCAATCGCTCGCTTTTTTAAATGTCTAATTGTCTTGTTTAATCTCGCTTAGAGCTGCATGATTCTGACTAAAATGAGAATCGCTATTTTTTTGCTTAAAATAAAGATCAAGAATTTCTCTCGATTCTGTAGATGTAAAATAAAGCTTAATATAAGATTATTGTTTTTTTCTCGAACATATGGTAAAACAACAATATTAATATTATGTGTAGGTCTACTGGTTTCTATAAATAATTCTATTCTACTTATAATAATTCTGATGTTGAATTATGTTTGAGATATATGCTAGCAATTTGTCATTGACAACCACTTAATTCACTGGTAAAATCAACATTATATAGGCTAGAGTAGTTATACTGACACTGTTAACATTTATTTTCATGGACAACTGTGTGTTCGGGATGAAAGAAAAAATTTATCAAATGCTTGTCGCAGTCATAACTCTAAAATGCGATAGGATTATGTAAATGATGTGCACGATTTCGGTTTCATTTTCACTGCTAAGTGCTGTTCATACTTCGCATCGCATTAGCATTATATGAAAACAAAAATGACATTATTAGGGGAATTATACCTTATAAATACAGTATGTGACTCTTTAAACATCATTTGGGGGTGTCCATGTCACTGAACAACGTTTGTGAAACAATAAAAAGATTCGTGCAGCTGCCTTTGCTTCTCTCCTAAACTTGAAAAAATGATTGACAGAATCATAGAAATGCTGGATTAAAATCGTCTAGGTTGTCGAATCAAGATCGCGATCTTTATGCAGCACCAATAAGCCCCTTTTCATAGCACCATACTACAGAATTTTACATGCTCAACTCTAGTGTGACCCCAGCTTAATTTAATACTATTAATAAAAATAAATGATGTTTAAACTAAGATCAGAACTGATTCTAGAGAATCATGATGTAAAGGATGTATGTTACTGTGTAAAGAATAAGCACTTGTAGGCAAGTTAATACCTTAAATAGTGCTAGAAAAAAGATGCTGACAAAGGTGCTGGTAGAATTAATACAGCTACTAAATGTTACAACGGCTTGCCATAGTGTGTCAGGCGGAAATAAAACGCTGTCGTGAACTCAAGCTGGTTGGTTTTGATTAAGTAAAGTAGCGAGTAAAGTAAACTAAAGCACTTTTGATCAGCAAAATGGGGTTCATCGAGAGTTCACAAGAAATATCTGTATACGAACCCCGTCAGCAGTGTGAAGAAACCAAACAAATGCAAAAAGAAAACCTCTCACATTAGTTTGAGCTGGACATGGTTGTTGATTACCTGATCAAACCGAGACTCGCCGAGTCTAAACGGAGGAAACTCGGTGGATTCAGGCATTGCAGGTCTGAGTGCTGTCTGTAGGGCTGTTTGGCTGAGCTCGGAAAAAAGCGAAGCTCGGTTTCCCTCAGAGTGCATTTTGGGTAATGCTGTTTTCTATAACAGGTCAAAGGAAAGATTACATGATGGATAATAATTTATGAACCTCAGTGAAACATTGGGCTGCTTTATTAGTTAATTTAATTCGCTTAACTATATCATTTAGTTCAGTCATTACCGTGACCTTGATAATGCACGAGTGTGATTATCCAACAGTGTGATTATCCAAGATTGCCTCTTAAAATTGCCCGTCTACAAGCTGTGAGGTGTTTTTTTTCTAATACTCTCTAAAAAAATATCAGAAAGAGGTCAGAGTGAACACATAAAAACATTATCACAAATGTACTTGGGGAATCATTTAGCATACTTGATACTAATGGTGGAATTTATTTGAGGAACATGTCATATGGAATGAATTATTACATTTCAAAAGTTAATGTGTAACAAGACTATAGGCTATCTAACATTATGGTGCAGGGTATTAATTTGCTTTTCACAATTTGAGGTGTTAAAAATGTCTTAATATCATACTCTCTCAGAAAAAAGGTACACAGTGGTACAAATAATGTTCCTTAAAGAACAGATTTGTACCTTTGTTAAAGTTGTACATTATATAGTACAGAAAAGACCTCTTATTATACTGTTCTGTACCTTTTATGGTAAAACTGAAATGAAGGTACACAATTGTTCTCATAAAAAGGTACATAAGTGTTGGACAACTCCTTCTTTATTACAATATCTATGAAAATAAATATTACTCAAAGGCATTTTCTCAAAGTCATTTTATGAATAAATTCCATATTAAAGCATGAAGCATCATTTAAAAGCATATGTTTAAAAAAACTCATAAACATTAATTATTAAGTTCTATAATACAAAACAACACGTAAAACAAAACTAGGTATTGTAAACTAACCATTTAAGGCATTTTAAGAAATTTTTGTTAAGCATTTTCTAATGAATACATTTTCATCATTAATATTTGCACTTTTGGCGTTTGCTTTCTACTACACGAGCTGGCATAAGTCTTTAATGTGTTCATGACATTTTAGTATTGTAAAAGTAATTAAACATTGTGCATATCTCGATACAATACTTTTGCATAATTTTATTTTAATTTTAAAATTAATTAAATTAAATGAACTTTTGAGTGATTACAAAGGTATTGTGTAAAAATTTGAGAAAAAAATTATATTGTACATGGGAAATGTATTTCTGTAACATTTTTGTGAAATATGGTGTGAAATGTTTAGCAAAAAGTAGATCTTTTGATTGATGTTAAAGTATTTTTTATTCTTCATTGTAAATGGAAATGGTGCATTTACAAAAAAAAAAAGTTGTTTAAAATGTTTAAAAATGTATTTGATGTTTTATATTTACAGAAAATGAATTGACACATTTTGGATACTGTAGCAAAATGCTTTTAAATAGCTCTTGAAGGAACACATTTGACACTGTTAAGATGCAAATTGTCTTGCCACTATAGTGGTAACTTCATGGATCAGATTTGTACCTGGATGATGGTACAATATTGTATCTGCAGGTTTTAAAAACCAAAGGTACATTTCGGTTTTCCATGGTACAGATCATGTCCTCAAAGGCACAAATAGGGATGCACTAATACCGATACCAGTATCAGGTCGATATTGGGTTATAATACTTGTATATCGGACATGAAAGGCCAGTACACGCACCGATACCACTCAATGGTAATTCACTACATGAATGTGATTTGTTTGTCCTACCTGAATTCAATTTCTTAAAGTATTAATTAGCCTAATGTATTATATATTAATAGCTTGGTCCTTATAAAAAATCCGTTTGTAAAATACATTATTGATAAATCTTTAGGCTACTGAAGAATAATCCAAATATGAAATATGATCTTTGCATAATGATCACAGCTGAACAAGCTAGCACTCATTTTATTTATAAACTATAAATAAAAAATTAAAGAAATTTAAAGTAATGGAACATTATGTAAAAAGTTTACAGCTTCTGTAAAGATCAGACAGCCTATACAGATCACACAATCTCAATAAACATTTCATGTAAATGTATAAATATTTTGATTAGTATTGTTAATGGAATATTTATAACCATATGATCTTGCTTTTGGTTATATGCCGGCTTTGAGCTCTTACGCACGCTCTCTCTCTCTTTCTCTCCAGCACCAGATGACAGGGCGCTATACACACTACACAGCATACACTGGCAAGATGACAGGTGCTGAACTCCACGGGGCCAGTTTTATTTGTTGACGATTTGCGTGTTGTTCCTTTTTTAAAATGCCTTTTATTTTTTAAATCTTAAGTTAATATAGGCTATTGGGCAAATAATCTCCCTCAGAGATATTGGAGTTCAATAACGTGGTGCGCAGTAAGACTATTGACCAACACCACCCTGTAAGTTTACACACTGCATAGACTATAGGCCCTCTTGCTTTGTTTCTCTGCAGTTGGCTCGTCAGTGCTAAATCACTTTTGTTTAAAAAAAAACAAAAAAACATTATTTATTATTATTTTGCGTATTTAGCTATTAATCTTATCTACCCACTACCCACCCATAGTTAAACATCAAGTATAGCTGACTTACTTGACCAGCGGATTAACAGCAGGACTCGTGAATATGATAGGGTTGAAAAGAATCACGCATAATAAGGTTTTATGCGTGCCCAAAATGCAATGCCAAGAGAGTGACTCAATAAGGTAACGTACCCTGCACACACTTTGTGTAATGTAAAGTGTAAAGTCGGTAGACCCATGTCAGGTTAACTAGTCCTTTAAATATCTTTGCTTAATCATTAATAGGTCATTAAAAGGTCTGGATTTGCAGGGTTATCAACAATCTGTGTATATTTTTGGCTTGGAACAGTCTTCTGTTAAAAGATTTTTGTGTTCATTCTTGCCACAGGCTAAAAAAAAAAAAAAAAAAAAAAGCAAACAAATAAACCAAATAATTGAAACCAAATCTATGAAGTATTGGTATCGGCTTGTAAAAAGTGGTATCGGTGCATCCTTAGTACAGAATGCAATCTTACAAATTTGTTTCTTTGACTTAAGGTACAATTCCGTTACATGTGATGAGTGTTTGTACCATTTTTTTTCTGAGTGTGTAGAATGGAATTAAATCTAATGCATGTAGATATATTTTGCTGTTTGTTCAAACTACTAATTTAAAGTTAGTAGAAACTACACAATTCTACACAAGTCTTGTTTGGGAACAACTTAATTTTTTTATGTTTAATCCACTTAAATATGATTAAGTGAACAAACTATTTGTGTTGGGAAAACAAGGAATTGTGTGGAATCAAGTATTAATTACAGTGCACAGATTTGAGTGTTTGAGTGTTGGGGCGAGGCTGCCGCCTCACAGCAAGAAGGTCGCTGGTTCGAACCTCTGTGTTTCTGTGTGGAGTTCTCCCTGCCTTCGCGTGGGTTTTCTTCGGGGGCTCCGGTTTTCCCCCCAGTCCAAAGACATGTGGTACAGGTGAATTGGGTAGGCTAAATTGTCCTTCAAGAGTTCACACTTAGCTGATGATTGATTATAAGCAAGTTTGGCATGCTGTCCCGGGAGAGAGCCCTGAGCTCGAAGGTTCTTGAGCCCTGGGCTCCCTCCCGTTTGGAGAAAGAGAGGGGAGCCTCGAGCTTAGGTAGATCTCGACAACTCCCCCTTGATAAGAGCTGATGACTAAAAATTGAATGCTATTAAAAGATATGCTGCAGTATGAGATTACCTGTATTGCAAATTTAGATTTATCAATTTATTTGTTGTGCATGTTTTTGGAATGTGGGAGGAAACCGGAGGACCCGGGGGAAACCCACGCAAGCACGGGAAGAACATGCAAACTACACACAGAAACGACCACCGGTCTGTTAAAGGACTAGAACCGGTGACGTTCTTGCTGTGAGGCGACAGTGCTAGTCACTGGGCCACCGTGCTGCCCTATGGAGGGAAAGGTGAAAAGGTAGGGGTGGAAGGGGGGATTCTTCAAATCGAAGATGACTGTAGTGGAAAAAACCCTGGCTCTTTATAGTGGGTTAGGAATGGCCTGATTGGTGGATCATGCATGCTAATGCAGAACCAGCCGTGTTCAATCATAATCAATTGCTTCTCTCGAATTTAGTTTGTGAATAAACTTCACGAAGTGTATGAGTGTGTGTGCGTGAATCTGTGTGTGGATGTTTCCCAGAGATTGGTTGCGGCTGGAAGGGCATCCGCTGCGTAAAAAAAACTTGCTGGATAAGTTGGCAGTTCATTCCGCTGTGGCGACCCCAGATTAATAAAGGGACTAAGCCGACAAGAAAATGAGAGAATGAATGAGATTTGAGTGTTTATGCTTAAAACAAAAACAAATATCTCTCTATATCATAAAAAAATTATTTTTGACTTTAACATAATTTTTCTTATTCTGTCGGTTTAGTTTGGTAACAATTTTGTTACATTTAAAAATGCTGGTTTCCACACAATCAATTTGTGTTGGGGCAACAAAGGAATTAAGTTAACTTCTTAGTTTTTACAAATTAAGTAGATTGAACAAATCAATTAAGTTGTCTCCCCCAAAACACACAAGAATTGTTTTTATTCAGAACATTTTAAATAAGTAGTTTGAACGAACAGCAAACTTAATTTGAGTGTTTGTTAATGTTAACATCTAATAAGAATGAACAATATTTGTAACATTCATTAATTAGCATCCCATTTTTAACAGAAAACGATACTTGTGTAATTATGTAAGTATCTGTTAACAATACTTATGTATACAGCTAGAAAATGTGGCTAAATGAGAATAAAGAATGAGAATAAAGTTCAGCCAATAAAGTGTAAAGAATTTTTGAATCCAATAACAGCTAAGAATATTAAAATAAAAACATGTATTACCAGCTCTACTCGTAATATAGTTTACATGTTAAAATGTCCGTGGCAAAAATATATATGTAAGTCTTCATGACCGTTAAAGTTGCGAATTAGCGAACATAAATCAAGTATACGACCACAAGACATAACCTCGGCAGTAGCAAGACACTTTATAGAATGTGAACATGACGTTAAACAACTAGAATGCATGGGGATTGAAGAAGTGTTTGAGGAGGAGGTAATTTAAATAAAAGATTATTACAAAGAGAAGTATTCTGGATTCATTAATTGAAGTCACTTGAATGAGGAGTTGGATCTTTCTGCGTTTCTTTAACAGTCTGTTATTTAACTATATTATTAGGAATCAGGAATCATGAACTTTGAAGTTGTAGTGAGAAATAATGAGACAAATAATCACAAATAATGAGATAAAAATGGATGTTTAATGTTTTTGAACTTTTGGAATTTCATTGTTTTGACAGATATTAATGGATGAATTATGATAATTGATGCTGTTTTCTTGTGAATTAATATTTCTGAGGGTAAAGGCATTTTTCGTGGGGTTGATCATGATATATTAAAATGAAAAAGAGACTGATGGTAAACATGATGCAAATTGAAATGCTGTTTTCTTGTGAAATGTTTTAGGTCAAAGTTAAAAGGTAAAAGTATGTTTTGTGTGGTTGATCATGAATCTATGATATATTGAAATGAAAAAGAGACTGTTGGTTAACATGATGATATTTGATATACTGTTTTCTTGTGAAACAATGGTTTTTAAGGTAAAATAATTTTTTATGTTGGTGATCATGATATATTGAAATTAAAAAGAAACTGTTGGTAAACATGATGATAATTGATTGCTGTTTTCTTGTGAAATGTTTTTGAAGGTAAAAGTGTTTTTTTGTGTGGTTGATCATGATATACTGAAATGAAAAAGAGAATCTGCGCATGGTGATTGACTATGGGATAAAAGGGTGGAGTGAGAGGATTGTGTTACACACTGAGGAATGCATTGTGTCTCTAAATCACCCGAAGAATGTAAGAAGAAAAAAATTAAAACAGTACGAAACAATTACTTGATGAGTGCGAATCATTATCTTTTTCAATTTAGTTCAGCCCCTCATAAAATTACATTTAGCATTTAAAAAGTAATAATTTACATATCTTAATAATGCCTTTTAAACCTCTTTTAAAACAGTTGTTTAATTTCTATTTAATTATCCTAAAGACAATCAAAAAACCGTCATTTCATCAAATAAGGACATGCAGAGATGCATCCCAAAGTGAAAAGTTTATTACATCAACAGAGACCTTTTCATAGCAGAGATGCTTAAGAGTACATTGAAAGTCATTAGAACATCTTTCAGATGAGGCATTTGATAAAAAGTAACATCACAACCTCCAGTGGACACTCGTGTAACTACACCCTGAACGCTCAATCAAACAGAACCTCAGGAAAACACTTCAAATATTTTGCATCTAATACAAATACATAACCATCATGTTTGGTGCTTAGATGCTACTTGATGTTTGAGGTTTAATTTAAGCCTTTTTTTTTTTTATTGTGACAAATCCACTGTAATTTACAACACAGAAGTCAGTACTGAGCCTTACTCTTCGGAATGAGGATTCAGGCATCAAACTGCTTACCAATGCATTCCTTCAACTTTAAAATAAACCCTCTGCGATTCTTTAAAAAATTATCTAGGTTTCAAATGACCTTAAAGAAAAAAAAAAAACATTCCAAACACCTCTTAAAATGAAATGTAGTATAGTAAACACAAGTTGTTTTTAATTCAGCGTTTTTACTACATAAAATGTAGTTCTGATTATCAACTTCACCATTAAAAGCATACAAATCTTCTTCTACACACACATATATCTTATGATAACATTCAGCCAAGGGCACTTGAACACACTTTCTGTCTAGGCTGCAGGCTGCGTGTGTGAATATTTATAGAAACTGGTTTTCAACATGGTAGCAACCAAAGCAAATGTTTCATATTACATTCCACCTGTTTAGACCTAGAAAAGTATGAATCGGTTAAACTCTGCAAAAGCCTGGCCTTCACATCTATTGCTTTCTGTTTGTACTGACCTTCAGAAATTGAATTCTAGGCTTAATAATCATTGTCATGTAAAGAAACAGCATTTAAAGAAAATGAGCAAAAATAAACCAAAAAACCTGATGCAACAGACCTTCTGACCACCTATAAGAAAAGGTGTTACAAGACCCGTCCAAGCAAATTATGATTAAAAAAGGCATAAATTAGGTATTTGCATGATTAAAATATAACATATTCTGTAACAATTGTAAACTTCTCTATTTTAAGCCTTTTCACCCAAAAATGAAAATTTGCTTTGCATTTACTCAACTTATGGACATTCAATATCTAGAAGAGTTCTTTCTTCAACAGAACATCAAATATAATTAAAGAACTAAAACTCTGGTCCTTGATAATTCATAAAATGGAAGTAAATGACTACCAGCACTTTGAAAATAAATAAATAATAATAAAAAAAAACATACAGGCAACACTAAATTAATACCTTAAAAGAATGGTTTACCAAAAAACTTTACACACTATTTATCCCCTCAAGTGGTTCGAAACCTTTAAAAGTTTCTTTATTCTAATAAAGATGTTTTAAAGAAAGATGAAAACCTGTAGACATTGACCTCCCTAGGAAAAATAAAATATTATGGAAGTCAGTGGTTTCTTTATATATCTTTGTTTGTATTCAACATTAGTCAAACAGATTTTGAACAACTGGAAAATGTTGTACATGATCTGAACCTTTAAAAAGCTAAATGACTGGTCTGTGCAGGAAACGTATTTTCTTTTAAAACGCTTTGTATTGTGAGGAACCAAATTTTATTTAGTCTCGAAATTCAAATAGTCATTGATTTACTGGTAATGAACTACCAAGAACCTCTTTAAAGAAAAAAAAATCACTTAAACCTCAAATGAACTGACAGGTGAGTTAACAAATCTTCATTTTAGAGTAAAATGTCTCTTTAATGAATGAACATTCATAAATCTACTCTAAATAGTCTGACAGACATACCTTTAGAGCACACGGGTCCTCAACTGCATCTAATCACAGAAATACATCATTAATAAATCTAGAGCTTCCTAGCAGAAGCTTGCACTGAATCACAACTGACATCCTGCGTTCAGAGGATTATTAGTCTGTGCAGTGAATGTGTGCGTGCACTTCTTCCTAAGCTGTTGAGAAAGAATTGTTGCAAGTGCCTCGTCTTGAGGTTTAAAAGTGCTGCGGTCTACGCCTCTATCACCTATCTATATATAGTGCTACAATTGTACATGGACAGTGGCAACACTGATAGTGGCGACATCATAGAAACACCAGAAATACATTACAGAAACATTGACAGAGCCGTTGCGGTATTAAAAAAAATACTGTAACGTTCGTTTAGAGCAAATAACTTCTGGCATTTGCAGTTTCATGGCTTTCATTCTCACTTCAGATCTCGTACCTAACAGTCTAGGAAAAAAGTTTGACTCGAAACCTTCCTCCGCCGTTTGTTTTGTAACATAATGTGCAGTCTAATTGAAAGTGATGCATATCACTACAACAAAATGGAAGAAATACTGTATGATAAGGCAGCATTTGGCATTTTGTCAGAGTGGCATATATGCAATGAATACAGTATATATCCCATTCGTTACACCTGAAAGCACTGGCAGCGATGTACGTGCATTGGCTCAAGCAAAGGAAGGAAGAGGACGAACACCAACCCGAAAGGAAGTTAAACGGTCAGTTGGCGAGAGCCTACTCCCTTAAGCTTTTAAGTAAAGTGCGGAAGACATGTAGGGAGGCACAAGCAGATTGGAAACTGACCGATTCTGCTCTTGTTCCTTTGCTTTACTACATCTCACACTCCCTCTTGCGCACTTTCAAGCCACCTCGAACTCTCAAAGTCGCTCTACGGTCAAGCAGCTGAGTGTTACATGGCAAAACGTGATAGAAAAAACAAATGCTAAATTGATGTTCGCGTTGTGCAACAAAAACCATTCACACTAGCGCTAGAAGACTGGCATGTCTCATTCAAGCCCATTCAGGATGGGTGATTTTGGTACTTAGCTTGACTGTCATGTGTCTTCGCGAGTGAATATCAGCTGACACATTTTAAAATGGATCCTACCAGCTTTGAAGTTTAGCAGCAGAATACCGTCCTTTAACCATCAATGCAAACCTGCAGTGCACACGGACCCCCAATAGAGACCATAGGTATTTTTGGACACCAAATCTACACCTTCTCCTCTATACCCAATCAGCTAGCGCCAGATAGCTCTCTGTATTTCTATGGTTGCTATAGCAGTGCATGGTTGTGAAGTCCAACCGAGGGTTTAGTGGAGTTATAGCGGAGGCGTTTGTTGTATCATTTCATTTTGGGGCGAACCTGAAGCAGAGTGGGGGTCTGTTCCATGATTCGTACGAGCAGTGTGTCAATGTAATCTTCCAGATCTTTAATCAGAAGCTTCATCTTCTTTAAGTCAGTCTCGCGCTTCTCCAACAACATCCCTCGCTTTTCGTACTCCTCGCGCTCCTGCCTGAGCTCCATGTCCCGCTGGATCAGCAGATTAACCAGCTCGCTGTGGTTAAGGTGATAGTAGGAGCCTCCTCCTTCCACTAGTGGCTAAAACAAGAGAGAAAAGAGAACACCAGACTGTTTAAAAGAGTTTTTTAAACAGAAATGATAGTTAACTGAAAAGTTAACTGAAAAGTTACTCTGCAATAAAAACATATTATGCTATAAAGGCCCCAGTTATCTTCAAACTAAATCAAAGAACAAACTGTAATAATTACACAATTAAAAAAAAAAAAAATCTGTCCAAAACAAACATCATTTTGAGTTTGTTTCAGCAGTTCAAAAGAGCTCACCAAAGTGATTTTTTTGGGGAGTTCGTTCTGGCTATTAAAGAGCACCTAGGTTACCACTTTTTTTAGAGTTGATATAAGTGTTTTGCATCTCCAGAATGTGTCTGTAAAGTTTCAGCTCAAAACATGCATCAGATTTTTCATTATACCTTTTACAAGACTATATTTTATACATTTTTGCAACAGGGGACAGTTTTATCATACTGCGCCTTTAAGGCTAGTCCTCCCTGCCTACCGTTTCATCGTGCCTTTCTGTGTCCCTCCCTCGGCTGCGTCACACAATAGACAGACTTAAAAAAAGAAGAGGTGCGTTCGACATGAAGCTCAGCTGCAGCCGGTGATCAACGAGATTAGCCGAGCGCAGGTGGGGGCGGAGTTGATAACGGAGCCGTCAAGACGGACAGCTGGACACTTCGGGACTCAAAGTTGCTGCAGTCATGATGACCGATCACATGGGGTCATCATATATATATATATATATATATATATATATTGTTATTTTTATTTATAACAACAAAACATTTACAAATAAAACAGAATACAGTCTCTACAAACTGTAGTTCCTTTTTAAACAATAAGAGAGAATTGTGAATAAAATATAAAACAAATGCATGAGAGAAATAAGAGGAAATAAGAGGTTAATATAAACATAAAAATGAACAGGTCTATTAAATACAAAGCAATAAGCATAAATTCTAGGAGTTAAACATCAATCTTTAGGCTAATACTTTTTGTTTAAATATGCTAAAAAAAGGGTTTACATATATGTACATTTATAGATATAAACATTTCCAATGTAAAAAGCAAAACAAGGTGCTTTGATTAGGTCTTAATAAATGAGATTATTTTGGATAATGAATGAATTTTCAAAAAAGCATTTTAATCCAAAAAGATTGTGTTGAAAAGAACAAAAGGTAAAATAAGTGAGCTATGTAGAAGTTTCCCATAAAGAGCAGGTAGCCTTTAAACTGCTAGACAGGAAATAAAATATATATTTATATCATAATAATAAAACCATTTTATAATTATTTAATAAAAAAGTTATTTAGCTTAATTTGTTAAGAGAGCTTTAGGGTGGCAGGATCAATGATGATGATTATTTTATTTAAAGTCTGTAAGACCTATTTGAGTTCATATTTAGGTTATTCACTAAAATATACACTAAAATATATCATTTAAATCGTTCATGGAGATGAATGCAGTAAATAGTCTGTATAAAAAGGTTGAAAATAAACCTGTGCAAACAAGCTAACCTTTATAACCGGATTATTTAAAAAAAGATGATACTGCAGTAAAATATTTGTAGTCTTTTAATAAGCAAGATGTGTACAGGATAGAGAGGGTGTGAAAAGTTAATTGTTTGTTTTGAAACTTTTGAATCGGAATTTGTCCAATTATAAACCCGAAATACACGTGTTTGTTGTCATGTGGTGAACTCGGCCAATCGTGTAATATCGGTGTCGTCATCAGAGCTCCTGCAGTCGCTCTTCAGAAGCTGCACGGTCTGAGTTTGCCGTCTGATCTCGGAGAGCTGTCGCGGTACTTTGATGCCACATGTGACAGTCACATGGCTTCGGCGGAGCATCAATCCGGACAAGATTTCTAACCAGCATGCACCGCTTTAAGACAGATTTCGATCGATCTGCGCAGCGCTGCATGAAGTCGAACGCACCTAAGATCTCACGTAGCGTTTGTGAGAAATACTACAGTGAGAACTTAAAGGGTCACGAAACACCAAAACACATTTTTTGAGCTGTTGACAGTCGTATATGTGTCCCACACTGCTAAAAACACTATTAGGACACCTATATTTCACTAAAAAGAGTAAATTGGTTGTTTTTGCGTTATTTCAAGCAAATTCGTCTTTCCTGTTTGAAACGAATTTTTGAAGCTGCGTCACGGTCATGACATAATAGCGTGTATTCCAGCGTGCAGACTGGGCGTCTGTGCCAGAGTGAGTCTTATTACGTCTTACAGTGTGATACATTAATGCATGAGTAAGGCTTGGTTCAAACCAATCAGCGCACTCTACTGTGCAACTTCATTAATATTCATTTGTGTCACCGCGCTTACACCACAAAGACGCCACGTTGTGTTGGCAAAACAAGCGTGAAGTGTTGCTTTTATAGTCTGCTGCCGTTAAGTTTCGTTTTCATTTTCTCTCTGTGAGAGCTTATCTGGATCACGTGTTTTTTACAGTGTACGCGACGCTCGACAACAATAACCTACGTGTCTAAGGGGGATTATTGTTTACCTGAGAGCTGTTCTCATCTGCAAACGCTGAAATCTGGATTCGTTTGTAGTATTCTCTCCATATAGACGCGGCTCTAGTTGCTGGTGATTGTCCTGTCTCTACAGATTTGGTAAGTGAGCGACCAGTGCTCTTTGTTTATTCAGTTTGTTCGTATCGAATTAAGTTAACTATTGCACTGAGTGCAGAAATGTTAGCACCGCATTTTGTGACCGGAATAACACACGCGGCTTTCTGACACTACCTGCCGTTTCCGGGAAATGCGGAGGTTTTTTTTCTCTCATTCGCCGTGCGGTATCAAACATTGCATGAAAAATACACGCTTAGATCAGTTCCTCGAATCGAATATCTCGTTTGTTGCGAGGGGCATGAATGAATTCCCTGAATGAAAGAGCCAAACTGCAGTTAAAGTCCAACATTTAATAATTTGGCAAATAATTCGACTACAGATGTCCATGTAGGTTAAACACCATCACTTACTCCTGTCTGTGTGGGTGTGTATTTTGACTCTGAAACTCGCGCGTACACAAATAGACACTCCCACACCATCCCACTTTAGTTCCTCCGACACTCCCCCCTAAACAGAGCTGGACACGCCCACTTTTCTGACTTTTTCCAAAGTAGAGGTGTGAAAACACCCTGCTGAAACGAGGGGGTTTCATGGCCCTTTAAGAAATAAGTATTTGTTGTAGAGTTGCATAGATGAGTCCCACACAATGTCGTCACAAAGTTCACACGCGCACACACACAGATAACACAGTGCAGACACACACACACACACACACACACACACACACAGAGCACGCGTTTAGCTTTGCACTCTTTTTGCACGCAAATGTGACAGAATACCTGTTAACAGGATATCTGTTATGTTAATGTACAAAGTAAACCTGATTTAACGTTCACAAAACGTGTCTTTCTTAATAATTGTTCTGACACGTGGCTGTGCTGATGAAGTAAAGCTGAAGTAAATCGCTGTAATTCATTACACACATCCACAGTTTTAAAATATTTTAAACATATGAAACTTACTCTTGATCACATTTGATGATGATTGATGATCCTAGCAAACTGAACAAACCTTTTATTCCGTGTTGCTTTGTACACATCTGGTCTTGTTGATATAATTATACACGTGACTACCGGGACATGTTACTACACAGCTGTCAGTCAATTCATTGGGCAGGGGGACCGCACTACTACGTCAAGTTGTGGTATGAAAATCGCTCCAATTGGTCCACCGTTTTTATGTTGTTAAAGGGTCACGAAACACCAAAACAAATTTTTTGAGCTGTTGACAGTCGTATATGTGTCCCACACTGCTATAAACACTATTAGGACACCTATATTTCACTAAAAAGTGTAAATTGGTTGTTTTTGCGTTATTTCAAGCAAATTCGTACTTCCGGTTTGAAACGAATTTTTGAAGCTGCGTCACGGTCATGACATAATAGCGTTGTATTCCAGCATGCAGACTGGACGTCTGTGCCAGAGTGAGTCTTATTACGTCTTACAGTGTGATGCATTAATGCATGAGTAAGGCTTGGTTCAAACCAATCAGCGCGCTCTATTGTGCAACTTCATTAATATTCATTAGTGTCACAGTGTTTTCACGACAGAGACGCCACGTTGTGTTGGCAAAACAAGCGTGAAGTGTTGCTTTCATAGTTTGCTGCCGTTAAGTTTTGTTTTCATTTTCTCTCTGTGAGAGCGCAGCTGGCGTCATGTGTGGATTAACAGTGTACGCGACGCTCGACAACAATAACTTACATGTCTAAGGAGGTTTATTGTTTACCTGAGAGCTGTTCTCATCTCCAAACGCTGAGATCTGGATTCGCTTGTAGTCTTCTCTTCATAAAGACGCAGCTCTAGTTACTGGTGATTGTCCGGTCTCTACAGATTTGGTAAGTGAGCGACCAGTACTCTTTGTTTATTCAGTTTGCTCGTATCGAACTAAGTTAACTATTGCACCGAGTCACCGAGTGTAAACACGATAGCATCACAACCAAACTTTAACCTCGTGTAGGGTTTTTACCGCATTTAGTGACCGGAATAACACACGCGGCTTTCTGACGCTACCTGCCGTGTGCATCTAAGTTTCCGGGAAATGCGGAGGTTTTTGAGGTTTTTTTTCTCTCATTCGCCGTGCGGTATCAAACATTGCATGAAAAATACACGCTTAGAGCAGTTCCTCGAATCAAATATCTCGTTTGTCGCGAGGGGCATGAATGAATTCCCTGAATGAAAGAGCCAAACTGCAGTTAAAGTCCAACATTTAATAATTTGGCAAATAATTCGACTACAGATGTCCATGTAGGTTAAACACCATCACTTTCTCCTGTCTGTGTATTTTGACTCTGAAACTCGCGCGTGCCCAAATAGACACTCCCACATCATCCCACTTTAGTTCCTCCGACACTCCCCCCTAAACAGAGCTGGACACGCCCACTTTTCTGACTTTTTCCAAAGTAGAGGTGTAAAAACACCCTGCTGAAACGAGGGGGTTTCATGGCCCTTTAAATTAATAGAAGGACTGGGTGTGTTTATATCACCCCAATATGACTGTCTATACACTATATTTACACATATGTTCGTCCAAACAGCTTGAAAAGTAGATTTTTCACTTTAGGTGCCTTTTAAACACCTTTTGAACTACCATTGCTCATATTTCACTTGAAGGAAATCCTGTTATTTTTTCATAAATCTCACTTTGATTATATACAGCTACTTAGCTAACATGAAAACGACTGATATATTTCCTAGTTCCTCCGAAAGGCCCGCCCTCAAGTGACTCTGATTGGTCATCGTCATAATATGCTGCGATTCGCGGATCGGCTCCACGTCACGCCCGTACAAGCATGCACTTTCCTGCTGTGTGAACAGTCAATCAACCTCTTATCTGCTCTCTAAAATAAAATCTGACATGTGTCTGTAATGAGTGAAAATGGGGTACGGCTTATTTAAGAGAGATCGTCTTTGTGTGTGTCTATGTGTGTTTGTGTGTTTGTGTGAATTTGTGGGTGAACTTTCTGTAGGCTCATGTAACAAGCCCATGTGCGCGGGACTTTCTTTTTCTTTTTCTCTGATGCTCGGATTAAGTTATTTTCTGTAATATATCGAGACAGAAGAATAAAGCACAAGATGTGGGATGAGACCTGTGTGAGCCTTGATTTATTTTTCTGCTGCTACATGAGTTAGGTGAGCTATCCTGTTTTTTTAGTTTTTTTTTTTTTTTTACTCAACACAATGTCTTTCACATCCAGAATATGCAGTTGTAGTAATATGAATCATAAACATATATTTTGCGACTTCATTGTCTGAGATGTAAAACGCATGGAAAAGCTGCCTAAAGAGAAACAATGCAAAGTCACGCACACACTTTGAGAGTTGCTGCACGCTCCGGTGAAGTGCGTGTGTGTTTATAGCAGTTTGACTGATAAATATACATTTGTAGCTAAATCGTTTGCGGTGCAAAACAGCATTTCCCATTGTTTACATCGGTGCTACAGCATACCGTTAACACTAGATACTGTACATGTCATGATAATTTTTAACAAATAAAAGCACTTACAGTAGTGTAGTGTAGTTCACAGCTTCTGCTTTGAGAAGATTTTAACCGAATCCAGCACTCAAATGAGAGAGATTCTGGAGCTGTGGTTTGTCGATTCATGTTTGCTATGTATTTTATAATTCTCTGGAACATAATTAATATTGAACTGTAAGCACTTCTGTCTTCGTGTCCTGTCCTTTGGAAGCCCAAATACAGAAACAGATAAAGCTCTGTGGAAACAGCAGTGATTGGACACTTAGCTGCGCAGAGTGTGTGCGCGGTAAAAGTAACTTTTAAAAAAGTACCTACTGGAAGTATTTTTTGTAGTCCCCAAAATTCGTTCATTGTAGGCTTTGCTAAGCTAACTCTGTAAAAACCCAAGGTCTCCCTTTACATAAAATTTTGAGCTTTTTACATTCATAGTTGTTGTTTATGTTCACACAGCTACATTGCACACCAACTAAAGTTTAAAATATGATATCGTAGAGGACCACCCCTTTAAAAATATGATTGATGCATAGTATAATGGTGTGATGCATGGTAAAAAACTAGTGACTATAAAGAGGAAAAACAGACATGCTTGAGCAATGTTTCCATTTATATCACATCTAATGATATGCCCTGTTTTTGATTTGTTTAGACATCTGTTATGTGTTGAATTCAAGTGTCAAAGTGTGAAGACGCAGAATGAAACCTATCTTTTTAATAATCTCAGGAGCCATTTAGTTACACCATTTACATTTTTATTTCAGAAATACCAAAAAGCAAATCATGCCATAAAGGTACTAATTTTAATAAGTATAAATTTGTTACGCTTACGCCTAGCGTCCACACTATTCCAGCATCTTCAATCCACGAATATAAAGCATTTTAAATATGCTGAATATCCTGTTTTAGGGTGCTTTCACACTAGCACTTTTGGTCCGTACTCAGGTTAGTTTTATGTCAGAGTACGGTACGTTTAGCTACTCTGGTGCGCACCTGTGAACCATACCCAAGTCGGCCTGAAATAGATGAATGTCAATTCAATTGTACCATATAATGACGGTGAACCACCAACTGTACCCAAGCGTACCGGGTTTCAGAAGGAAAAAAGGCAATGTAAACACAAACCAACAGAGAGGGGACTATAGAACTTGGGTTCGAAACAGGCATTTGAACCAAGTGTGAAAGCACTCTCAGTTTGGAAATGCTGGTGTTCTATTTCAGTATTGACGAACTGAAACACAAAGTTTTTAAGTGGCCACAATAGCTCTTTAATTGGTCTTCTGGATGATTGCAAATCGTTTACTGATTCATCAAGCCACTCTCACATGAATCAAGTATGAATGCTGGCAAAATATGTGCATGCCCAGAGCATGAATGGTCACCATGCGTTTTAGTCTATACTGTGTGGACAGCATGATAAAAAGCAGGTCTGAATGAGAAGCGTTTTCATATTGAAACAGTTTTAAAATGAAAACGCAATAGTGTTAACTCAGCCTCAATCTGCTTTTTGGGTATGCACAAAGTTTTAGAGTTAAACTGAAAAAAAAAAAACATGTCCAGTATTAAAACACCTTAAGATAATTAATAATATTATTATAATTATTATCTGCATAACAGCCTAATTTATGCTTATGCATTACCTTCTTGTCTGCATCACTTCGTCCTGAGTGTATGGTGGATTTAAGCTTCTCTAGTACAGATCGACCCTCTGACCTCTTCTCATCAGGGGGCGTCAATGGCTTCACTGGGTGTGGACTAGAAGAAATATAGACAAAAATTTAGTAGTCAGTAAAAAGTGGTAAAAATGTGACAGTTTAATATCATGACTGAGTCAGTTTACTAACAAAATTTATGAAAGAGATAGCTCACCCAAAAATGAAAATTTCCATACTATTTACTTAAGTGGTTTTAAACTTAAAAAAGAAAGAAACTCAGACAGGATTTGGAATAAGTGGAGGGTGGGTAAATGACATCATTTTCATTTCATTCATGTTTTTAAAAGAAGCTTTTAGTTCCAAGATGAGGAGATCTCAAGGGCACAATAAATGTTACACTACTCACCGTCCAACAACCCCTCTAATCAGCAGCAGTACAGACGATTATTAAAGGAGGCAACCATTTTGAAGAAATCAACAAATCGCCCGAAATCACAGAAACTAAAATTTGCTCCAGGACTGAACCACACACTCTCACAGCTCACTTGGTTAACACCTGCTAATTGAAGAGAGGCTCCCCCATCCCCATTGTAGAATCCACAAGAGAGTGTGAGCCTATGTGTGATTGTCCATGGAGAAATCAGGAGACATGCTGCTACCACAAACAAATTAACACAAGAGAAAAGATATGGATGAAGGGGAAGAGTCACCCTGCAACCAGAGAAAGTGAAGCGCATTGATCTCAGTGTATAATAAGACATCCCAATAGACACCTTTTCCGGCCCCATAACATCATTTTCCCAAGAAACACACCTTGCACCACATATTTGCTAAAACAGGAGGTCCGTAGTTGTTCAAACTGGAAATACTGTTGAAATAATGTATGGTTCATGATTATCCATCATCATATGCTGACCTAAATCTGACGAGTTTCTAATATAGCATTAAGAGGTTATTTTAAGAAATGTCACTTATTTTCTTTAATAATTGCCTGTATTATGTTTCCAAATGTGTTGACAGTTTGTCTTAAAAACAAAACCTTCCCTCAACAGTCTGGATATTTGTTATTAGCATCTTGATGGGAAAGTGATTGTAACGTTTCTATTGACTTCTAATCAAATATGGTAAAAGCACTTTATTGTGAGTATATGCGAGAATTGACTCATTAGTCTCTTGAATGTTATGAAGGATATGAGTGTGAGAATGAGCAGTTGCTGCGTGGTGTTCACTTAAAGACTACTGATGACAAAGTTTCTATGGCTTGTTTCCAGCGAGAGGTACGGTTCAGTATTCATTTATTTCGATTTACACTGTCAGAAGTAGCAAATAGTGACCTGTATCATACCACTTTTTGGAACACTTTCATAAGGGTACTAATGACAACAGTACAAAACCAAAAGTATAGAGCTAGACTATTGCAACTATAGTCTATAGCAACACTATTGGTTTACAGAAAATCGTCACCACTTTGTACTACAACCCAGGGAAAGACAAAACTGAAAGCAATATTTTATATTTTATATTTTGCATCCAAAACGCAACACCATAATAATACAAAGACAATATGAGCAATGAGACATGCTCACACAAAGATTGATTCATCTTGTGACGAACAGCCACATGTCAAGAAGCCAGAACAAGATCTGCTGTGTGTCTTCCATAGACTGATTTCACATGGCCACCATTTTAAAACCAAAAACGGAAAGAAATCCGGAAGTATCGCCTGGAGTCAAAAAGGAATGTTGTGTACCTGGCTGTATATCTTATCAGCAAGGAGAAAGTGACACAAATTTATAATTTTACCACATTCTGAGTGACCTAAAGGTCAATTCTGAATGGATAGTGAAAATAAAAAGGGATGTCAGACCTCAATTTCAGTTGAGGGAAATGGCACTAGCTAGCTAACATTTTCTTTCCCAAACACATGTTTTAGATGCCATTTATCAAACTCTATATAATTTTACTATATTAAACCTGTCACGATACTGAATTTTAGTACTGAAATAAAAAAGTCAATTTCCTGCACACAAACAACAGTTGTTCATTCTTAAACAGCGCTGATTTGCCATAGTGTTTACCAGTGCTCAACAAAAATTACTGTGATTGGCCATGAAGGTAATCAGTTAACTACACTTCACCGATGTTCACCGAGTACAAACACAGATGAGCAATCCGCTGATCTTCGCAGCTTTAAAACGCTTCAGTGTCCCTGTATTTGTGTTTGCACTCAGTGAAGAGCAGTGAACAGATGACCTTTATGGCCAATCACTGTCATTTCTGTTGACCACTGGTGAACGCAATAGCAAATAAGCGGTGTTTAAGAACGCGCTCAGCTGTGCTTAAATGTTAGCAGAAAATTGACATTTTTTAAATTTTAGTACAGGGACATAACTATTACAGACAACACAAGGGTGTGCTACAGAGGACTGCATTGTTCGATCGCTCACATAAGCGTTGTCCTACAGGGCCATTAACGTCACTTCTAAATGTGTGGAAAGCACGAAGGGTGCAGCTTCTTCACTCGATTTGTGGACACTTGCCACACATCTACACTTTTTTTTAAATGACCTGAGTGTATAAAACACACATTATGTAAAAGGTCTTCATGGCTTTCTTTTTTGAGCAAGAATAACCTTCTTCACAAATTTCTGGTGAACACCACATCGACCAAGCAAGAACACTTTTGTCAGTGACAACCCAAGTCTGATCAAGGTGACCTGTTTCAAACCATAGTGTACTATACTATACTATACTATACTATAGTATACTATACTATATTAAACGGTATCATACCGCTCAGTGGAGACAAGGCATAATTATAATCTGTAATCCTTTTAAACCAAAAAATAAACAGCCAACTGTCATAGAACCCTACACTTTTAACACAAAGAAACCTTGATAGAACCCTACATTATTCCTAGTTGGATGACCTTAATATAATTTTTAGTTTCTAACACTGGCCAAAATTTCCACACTGGTGCATAGCAAATATCTATAGGAAGGTGGAATACCAGTTTTGGTAATTACTGATTTTACCATTTAACATCACTGAATATGTGACAAAGAAGAATGAAAGTGACTGTAGAGCTCAAAAGTTCTTCAGAAGTGCCCATTAGTGCAAGATCAGAAACATGAGTATTTAACCTTAGTGCCCAAGGACAATTACAACAAAGCTATGAGACCTCACCTGCTCTTATGACGGAATATATCTGATTTATCCTGAAGAAAAGGATTGCATGATGTAGAATTTACAGGCTGCATTGTAGGATGAGAACCAGCAAGTTCTGGATGTTGCAATGACTCGGCTGAGGTTGGAGGATTTATGGGAAAGGGGAAAGTGTCTACTGCTACATGTGGTGTCGAAGAAGCTACAGGTGAAAGGTCGAACAAAGATGATATAAAGTTAAGGTTAGGAGAATGCCTTGAGGCCAGAGTTGGCTGGTCGAAGGGGGAAGGTGCTGATGACTGGGGTAAAGTGGGCCAGTTCACTGAAAATAAGTCAGGTGTCGCAGATTGTTGCACAACTGGGGTTGTCCACAAATCAGTGTTTCTGTCGAGACTTTCTACTGGTTTAGGATGTAGTTCTGTCCCACTGTGAGTTTCTGCAGATTTAAAATTTACATTACAAAGATGAATTTCAGTTGCTTGGGATAAAAAGATGTTCTTCAGGTCAGCATCAGTTTTGACAAGGTCCTGTGTAATACTGGAGGTTTGCTCAGGTACATAATCTGACATAAATGGATTAGATTCAGCCAGCACAATGTCATTTGATGTGGTCCCAACGTTAAAGAATTCATCTTCTTGCACTCTTTGAAAATCACCTACTTTGGTTGGACAGGTTTTACAATGGTCAGTGAGACATGTGTCTGTATCTAATGGTGCAAGTTGAGCCTCAAGTTCTGCTATCATTTCGGAGGTAACAACAATTGACGACGTATCTTTAGGAAAATCGTAATTATCTGAAGGAACTGACTGTACCATTGATTCATCAAATTCTGGCTTTATAAACTCTGATGTTGTGTTCTCAGATGAACAACTGTGTGAAGGGTCTGACATTGGTGTAATGGTATGCGTTTCAGGCAGGAGATCCAATAAGTAATTATTCTGGGAAACATCCTGACGACATTCTTTTTTTGGCAAGGCTTCTTGAGAAGGTTTAATTTTTTCTGCTATAACCTGATTTTGCTCAGCAACTACTTTTGTTATGGCCTTTACAGACGTGTCATGTTTTATTGTGGCAAAATCATGAAGGATATTGCTTGGAAAGGACTCAATTTTGGAAGTGTCTTCTGCAGGCAAAAGATGTTTGGTTTTCACTTCCTGGGTGAGTTCTAAGTTAGAGGAAATTGAATCTTGCTGAGATACACAGGTAAGGTACTGATCTGAATCTGCACACTTATACAGGCTGTGAAGAAGCACACTACCAGGTGAAAGCACTAAAGAGTTTTTGTCTGCTGTATCTTCATTTCTCCCTGTTTTAATTGCACCGGTTGAATGGTTATGTTCTACAGGAAGTGTCTGTTCATTAGAATACATTATTTCTGGCTCTTCACTGATGCTGCTTAGTAGAGTACCTGTTAAATGATTCTTGAATGGACTGATTGGTCGTTCACTCACACTCTCTTTGTTTTCCTGCATGCCATTAGACATGGTTTTTAAGAGTACTGGAAAGGAAATGCCATTGGGTAGGTTCTCAGGAACAGAGTCTTTAATTTCAGAATAGTTATGACTGACACCCTTGAAGAGATCCTCTCTTGATTCATTCTGTATTATGGTGTTCATTACTGCATCTTTTATCTCAGCTTTATCCACAAGCAAAGTAGTTGAAACTAGGAAACTCTGTGCTGATTGAACATGGTTTCTAGAAGCCTCAGTGGCTTCAGCTTGGGACTTTCCAATTTTCACTATGTTTTGAATGAGTGAGCCACCTGATCTCCAAAATTCTTCATCGGATTTGATTATATTACCTGTAATAATGTCAGTCTGACAGGGCTCAATACATGGCTGGTCTGGGACTCCACCTACAGAATCAGATGTCATGGTAGACTGTTCCAGTGTGTCACCTGAGTTGTTGCCCTTAGAGGACAGCACAAGATCCTCCTCATGGATTGTCACAGACTCAACATCCTTCAAGGCTTCAGGTCTCTGTAATGATTCAGGACCACCATCTGAGAATCCAATGCAGATACTAGGAAGAAGGTCAAGAGCGTCTGCTTCTTCTGATAATGATAATTGTCTGACATCTGATTTGGCATCTTGAGAGGTTACAGCCATCTTTGAGGGGTTTTCAAAAATTGACACATCAGCATTGTCTTCATTCTTGGAGCAGGCTGGCAGTGCAGGAAAAGGGCATGCAAACGTATTTAGTTCAGAAAACTCTAAACTCGAATTCTCTGGTAAAGAGATTTCAGACACATTTATATATTCTGCAAACCCATATGCCCCATGATTAGTGAGGTCAGGCTTGTTAGAACTAGAACAAACACTATTTACATTGCTTCTTGAAATTTGAGGTGTGTCTGCAGTTGATTCATCAACAGTGCTTGCTAAAGCATTTCCCCCTAAATCAGTTAGGTAATTTGTATGCGATCTCATTAGGCAACCCAAAGCACTCAAAGGCTCTTGGTTATTTGTTTTTATTAAGAGAGCTGGGAGGGTAACCAAACTATTTGTTTTAGCCATCTCTTCCAAGGGCTTTAATCTGTCCTTAGCGAAATCCTCAAAGTCATCATTTTCTGTCTGTCCCTCCAAGGGAGAAATTAAAGGATCAACTGAGATTTCCATTTTGGAAGGTCCTTGCTTGTTTCCAACCCTTAGCAAATCTGGGGTGGCATTGCCATCAACCTGTGAGCTAAAAAGAGAGGGTACATCAGGAGTTAAAGGAGCATCAGAATGAAGCTCTTGAAAGATATTATTCTGCTGTGCAAGTGGGAGGATGGGATTGGCTTCATAAAAAGGTGAGGGTGGAGTAAAGGTAGCGGTGTTTTTGTCAGTCATATTCTGTGAAGGAGCATTAAAGTTCAAGGGTACGATGGAAGAGCTTGTATTGGCACTGGAGTCTGACTGAGGAGACACCAGTGGGCTGTGAAAGGAAGGTATATACAGCACATTAGTTAACGCAGCCTCCATTAAACCCAATAATAGTGTGCAACGACGATAGCCAAGAGCCATGCGACCAGTGACCTTCACCATCTAAATGAGAAATCCCTCAGAAAGGAGTGACTAATGACCCACAGCAGTGCATATACATATAAACTGTGCAACATGCTATTATAAACTCGAAAAAATATCCAATAAACTTTAGTAGTTGTTCTCAAAATACTGCATCATGTTTCAAAACAATTTTCAGTGTTTATTCGTTGGACTTTTTTTTTTCAAGATGTGATCTTAATGACATTAAATACAATAAATTTTGTAGTATAAATCTAGTGATTAAAAGGTCTCAGAATGCAATTGCAATTTGGAATTATTATTTTGTACTGTATTAAACATTGTTCAAAGTAGCAAGCATTATGACACATGACAGTATTTTGAACAAACTGTCTGTCCACAGCTGCATAACTTCAATAAACATAGAACCCCTGAGTTTGAAAAGGCCATAAGACATGTTGAAGAAAGAAGAAAAATAAACACATAAAGGCACAAGCAAACAAACTCAAGCACAAGATTTTTATAAACGGATGATATTGCCCACATAGTTAACTTCAGACAAACTAAAACTAAATCACTTTTTTGCTTGAAGCAAGTAAACATACTGTAAGAGCATGTGATTGGTTGGGGTTTTTGACATGTTACAGTAGCTGAACTTTAATGCCATTTCTATGAAATCATTTAAATTGGATGTCACAGAGTTAATACAACCACAACACAAGTCAGTTTCTTAGGAAAAGATTAACCATAGTTGTAAGCTAAACTGCAGTGTAAACTGTGATTTTTAAAAGAAAACTGTTTTTATGATAGGTCAAGGCTTAATCTGTATTCATTTAATAGGTCATTAGTCTTAAACGTTTAGTCTGTTATGGGGCATTTCGTGGGTGAATAAGAATTTGATCAGCAGAATAAATTCTCTTTCAGGTCTTTGTGTGTTAATGTGTTGATCTCACTCCAATCAGAGTTTCAATAATTTTTTTTACCCAATTAATGGCACTGCTATTGTATTGTTGTTTTGCAATTATTTCTACTATAAATCTTTTAGTAAATGAATGTCAATAACAGAAGTGCATTAACCTGTAAATATTTTGTACAATATTGTAAGAATTTTACATTTTAATATTCAAAATCTCTACAATAATTTTATACATTTTGGTGATTTATGTACTACTCACATTCTCTTAAATGTTTCCCTTCAAATTTAGAGTAATTTGCCATTTATAGCAGTGGCACAGCCACTTGTAAATATTATAACCATTACCTAATTGTAGGGGTGACAAAACCTGTTCTAAAGAGCCACTGCCCTTTAGTTTAGCTTCAAGACTGAACAAATTCCTGAACCAGCTAATCAAGGTCTTCAGACACACTGGAGACATGTAGGCCAGTATGCGAGTCAATATATTTGTAGCATAAAGCATATTGTTATCTCTTTATTGCTTTCCAATAAATGGAAGCAACTAAATTCTGCCAAAAGTGTCCTTCCTTCCTTAAGTTAATTTCAATAAACAAATTTTCAGACATCACGATATACACTACCTGACAAACAACAATAAATAATAACTTGACTTGTAGTAGATAATTTGGTATAAGAAGTGTTTTATATGAAGGATAAAGGCCTTCATAAACGAATAATTTTACCAAATAATTACCAAATACCAAATTATTAATCTGTTAAATAATTTTAATTACTTACTTGGGACAGTAAGGTCTGACTTTGCTTAGACAAAAGTCTAGTCACTTAGCAGAAATAATGTACACTATAAAATATAAAGTGGAAAAAGAATTAATATTGTGCATGACTCCTATGAGCTTGGACGACTGCAACCATACATCTCTGCAGTGACTCAAATAACTTAATAAAGTCATCTGGATTGACAAAGAAAGCATTCTTGCAGGTGTCCCAGAGTTCATCAAGATTCTTTGTATTCATTTTCAATGTCTCCTTCTTTATCTTACCCCAAACATGCTCAATAATGTTCATGTCTGGTGACTGGGCTGGCCAATCCTGGAGCACCCAGAACTTCTTTGCTTTCAGGAACTTTGACGTGGAGGCTGAAGTATGAGAAGCAGTGCTATCCTGCTAAGGAATTTGCTCTCTCCTGTGGTTTGTAATGCTGTTGATGTTGCCAACCACTCTGCAGATCTCTCGCTTGCCCTCATACTGAATGTAACCCCAAACCATGATTTTTCCTTAACCAAACTTGACTGGTTTCTGTGAGAATCTTGGGTCCATGCAGGTTCCAATAGGACTTTTGCAGTATTCGTAATAATTGGGATGCAGTTCAACTGAAGATTCATCAGAAAAATCTGCCACTTTTCCAAATGATCAACAAGAAGTCAAGTTATTATTTGTTGCTGTTACAACTGGGATAAAAGACAACACTTTTGCCAGATAGTGTATTATACAATGTATTGTTGTTCTGTATTGTACTTTGTACACTTTTAGAAATAAAGGTACAAGAGCGGTCACTTGGGTGGTACCTGTTTAAAAGGTATACATTTGAACCTAAAAGGTCCATATTAATACCTCAGGGATACATATTAGTACCCAAGTACAAAATTGTACCTCTTAAATTTTTTTAGTTACTAATATATACTTCTGAGGTACCAATATAGACCCTTTAAGTACAAATGTGTACCTTTCGAAAAGGTAACACACTAGTGACAGCTCTTGTACCTTTATTTCTGAGAATGTACAATGAAAGCAAAGCTGAATTTAATTTCATATAACTAAAGCTGTATTGGCCCATTTTATTAACTAGCAGAACTTAAAATAAAGTGTCATTGACGTCTTTGCACAAGTATCAAATGTGCAGATTTAATTTGTAGTGCTGCTCTCTTCACAATAATCTCACTTCAAGAGTAAATACGAAGTAATGATGCTCACTGTGGAATTTGCTCCAAGACATCAGCAGGAAACTTCAACATGAAAATCATTTGACAAGTCTGAAATTCACAGATATTAATTAGCTAATACTGCTTTCCTTTCCCCCCCATCAAGTTTATGTTTAAAAACGTGACATAACTGCAAGCTCTCACAATTAATGCAAGATTTGTTGAATTTGCACTAATTTTCGCAACTGCTAAACCCAAAGGGACTGATGTGCGTTCATAAGCATGTGTGCGCACATTTTTGTTGACACAGCATGAAAAGGCATATCCCTGCTTTATAAAAACCCAAACCAAAACACTGAAAATAAAGAACAGAGTGTGATTTACCGCCACCCGAGAAAAAAAGAGAAAATATTTACCAAACAATGGACAGCATACACACCTACAACAGAAGCAGGAATGCAGTTACACTGGTTTAGGTCAGTGACAGAATTAAACTGATTGACTCCTCCCATTCATAGCCAACACAAACACTCCTACACACTATTTCAGGTCCATCTGTCTGCAATGCAAAAATAGCACTCGTCGATGAAAATTGAGAAATGCAAACTTGGTTTTGAGGAAGAACATGTGAGAAGGAAAGATGGAGAGAGAGAGAGAGAGAGAGAGAGAGAGAGGGGGGGGGGACTCAAGAAGTACTCAAGAGTTCTGGTTTCCAGGCAGCACCTCTCTCTGCAATGCAGATGCTAAAACTAAATCTATGACTACATGGCATGATGTTTACACTCACAGGATTACACACACAGACTGTGAGTGTGATTTATGAGGATTTTTCATAGGTGAAATTTAATTTGTACAGTAACAAACGCTTTAACCTTAATCATAACCCTAAACCCGAACCTCAAAGGAACAAGTGGCACAATCTGAAGGTTAAAAAATACACTTAAGCCTCATTTTACACAGTTTAACTATTAAGGACACAAGGAATGTCCTCATGTACCACCTCAACACTGTAATACCTAGGTCAAACACATATCATTATACAAATTTTATATATAAAACCCATAAACAAGTACACACACATGCTTCTACTCATCATTTGTAACAAACAAAGCAAAAAAGGTTTACCTGGGTTTACTGTGCGAGTCCTTGGAGCTGAACCATCCTTTGTGTTTGACTTCCACAAGTGGTTGAGCATGTTCTGTTTCCTCTTTACTCGTGATTGGTCCTTTACCAGCTGAATCACCTTTCCCATGTGAAAACAGGCCCCTCCTTTTCTTGCCCTGAGTCTCTGTCTCTCCAGCACGTATCACGGTTTCATTCACAGGCTCATCTGTAACTCTCCCAGCATGCTCTAGTGCTGCAACAATGGCGGCTTTTTCTTCCTCGCCAGGTTTATCGAAGGACCAGCGTCGTCCATCCACGGGGCCACCATTCTGCTTTTCTTTCCCTTGGCGAGAGAGGTTTTGCAGGGAGAGTGAAAGGGAGCCTTTTTGAAGCACCCCGAGGGCTGGGAGCCGGGGTTCGGGCCTTGGCTTTGACTCTTGGGATTTCTCTGGCTTTGCTGGCAGCTTGGTTGCCTGGGGTTGACCTGACTGAGTTATTGGTTTGGTTGACTCTTGTTGAGGATGCTGTAGTACAAGTGTCGGTGGGTGGTGAGTGAGTGGAGACGTTTCCACAGGGTTCCCGTTCACACACACTGAAGGAAGCAGGATAGGGGTGTCGTTGTCTGACATCATAGAATGAGGCACTGGTAAGCTGATGTCATACATCACATGTCTGACGGGAGAAACCTGTGGCGAAGGAGCGACTGTGTGTTCTGAAGGAGAGAGTGCAAGTGAGAGTTAGTTTGGTTTATTTAACTTGCAAGAAAAAGTTAAGATAAGATTGCAGAAAAAAAAGGACATGGATTTGGTTCGATTTATCAGTTGTGATTAGATGGAGGCAAATCTGAATGAGACAAATCTGCAGTCAACTGTGAGCACGCAATAGCTTTTAAGCTGAATAAATGATTGGAGTCAGGCATACACCACCAGAATGACATCTATGATTTCACCAAAGATTAAGATGTTGAAATTGTGAGTTCAATTATTTATTTTATTTTTTTTTAAATAAAATGAAGCGATACAAATATAAATGAAATAAATTAACAAATCACATCCATTACAATAAAAAATACATTTAGAAAAGAGGAAATTTCCATTTCATGTCAACTTCTAAGGGATTTTAGGGTCCAGTAGAACTAAAGTTTGATAGCACTCATAACCTAAATTTTGCTTTATTGTAACAGATTACTTATACGAAGATTAAGAAAGGGGTAAGTTTAAATAATTTTGTTCCTGCTACTTATAATTGAAGTCAATGAGGATTTTTTTTCTGTAAGGTTAAAGTTATTTTATTATTTTTGTTAAAGGAAACACTTCATTTATTACTGTACCTTTTTCTTATTATGTGATATATGTTGATTTGATTGATCTGCAAAATGGAGTAAATCTCTCTGACAGACAATTATTCTCTAAAATGCAATGTTTCAAATTTCAAAAGTGTAGTATAATTTGAAAGGCTGTTTGTTCAACTGTGTTAATAACAAAGAAAGCATAGCCTGAACTTAATCCTTTACAAAAGTTATGTTACACATTTCCATTATGTATGCCTCTTGGCTGCTTTGGCCCTTAAAAAACAATTGGGTAAGTGATTTTGATATGTTGAAGAGACCCATTTGTAAAAAATTCGATGAGCTTCCAATAATGACACCCACAGATAAGATGTCCAGTAAGAGCATTACATTTCCAATCAGCTCTCAGCAGTTGACCAATCATGACAGACTTTTTGAAAAGTTTAGCTTTAAAGAAATATAAACTTTACCAGAAAGAGTTTTAAAAAAGACCCTGCAGCAATGTGAAATAAGGGAAAATACACCAGGTATTAAGATGCATGTCTTCCAGAGGTAGATAAAAGTGCATCTGATATCCTACACTCCACCTACTGGCCTAACATGTGATTGTTTTGGTAAGTGTTATGAGAGAGTGCACCAAAACAAAGTTTTCATACTTTGCTGCGTTGTACGCATGAATTATGAACAAAACTGTAGTTGCCTTTTTTATTTTGTTCACTCATATGCCACTTTATATGTGTCTGTTTGTGCAATTATACTCATGTGTCACACAGTGAAAACTCTAGGAACGCTATACTGTAGACTGCTAAATTTATAGAAAAAGGTCCAAATCCAAACACTAGTGGTCAAAAAAGATCTTTATACCAGGTAGACACCGTACTGCATCTCAGCTGACCACTTTTAATCACATCACTGAAAACGGATGTTTAAAAAAAATTTGTAAAATGGCTATAACTTAAAAAAACTGCACTGTAAAACTTTTGTAAAAAAACATTAGCAATCCTCAATCAACAGGCTGTTTAAAGTCCAGCATAACCGAACAACAAAATTTCAACATTTATTCTGCTTACACATTCAAAGCAGTTCAGTATAATACTCTCAGATTTTAAATTCCTGCAGCTTCTTCATTAATTGCAATGAACTTTGATTATATTTAAGTAAAAGGAACTAATTTCCTTTAATTACTTTTTGCACAGTGTGTGTAAAAAACTAAATTTTCTGCAAAAAAATTATTGAAATAATATTATGTATTTTAACATAGCCCAGTCGTTCTGATCCCAGCTAGTAAACCTTTCCTCACCCCATCCCCCTCTCTCTACCACTTCATTTTCTGTCATCCTACTGTCAAAAAATAAATGTTAACTGAATAAATAAAATAATATTTTAACATTAATGAGGTAAGTTAAAGTATTTTAGGTAAGTAAAAACTTTTGCTTAAAAGTAAAAACTTTTATTGTCCCAGCTGAGGGAAATTTGTCTTAGTATCATAACCTGTGCTACAGTCATCACATTTAACCCATTCACAGCAATATACAATACAAACACATACAAATAAATGTGTGTGTATATATAGCTTAATAAAGCAGGTGGTAGCCTGCCCTAATTTATTTCAACTTAAATTACGTAAAAAAATTAAAGTTAAAGTAAATTAGGGCAGGTTACCACTCCAAGTCACCACTATTCAACAGCTTTATTTTCACTGGAAAAAATTAGCTTTTATATCTATCGAATCTGCAAAAGAGAATCCTAATAGACGATTTCAATATTGATAAGTAGAACTTAAAAGGATAGTTCACCCAAAAATGAAAATTCTGTCATTATTTTACTAAAAATTTACTTTTCAATCCTTTATGATTTTCATTCTGTTGAATACAGTAAAAGATATCAATGCTGAAAACCTTTAACCATTGACTTATATGGTATTGGTTTTTCCTACCATGGACGTCATTGGTTACTGGTTTTCAGCATTCTTCAAAATATCATCTTTTGTGTTCAACAGAAGATAGAAATCAAAGATTTGAAACCCCTTAAGGGAGAGTACACAGAGTACACAGAGTACACAGTGAATAGGTATTCTTTTTTGGGCAAACTATCCTTTTCATTTAAAAGAATTTAACTGTTAAAAGCTATTGGTAATTAATTACTAGTTGATTAAAGTTAGTTAAAATATAAAAAATTAAATAGTATCTAATAACTTAAATTTTTCTGATGTTAATTGTAATGCAATAATTTGCACCTTTTGTAAAGTTGCTTTGAAACAATAATTAATTTGAAAAGCACTATACAGATAAACTTGAATGACATTTTTATACTAACTGAGCTCAAATAGACCTGAATCTAGAAAATCTTTTTAAAAACACACTCCACTGTGCATACCTGGACTGTTGTCTGCAGTCAGATTGCTGCTGTTACTGGGCGAGTTGGAAAGATCAGAGACCACCACACTTATGCCCGCTGTAGGGCTCAGGCTGCCGCCACGCGATGAAGACTCGCTGCTTTCGGAGCCCAGTGACGTGCTGGAGCGCGTATCTGAAGACTTTCTCAATCTCCCACGCAGGAAAAAACTTCTCATCTTACTCCTGCGGGCCTCCCCTCCTTCATCGTCCTCGTAGTCTTCCTCGCCGCCCCCATCGCTCGGCAGTCGCCCCCGCATGCGCGCCAGTGCTCCGTATCCTCCAGGAACAATAGCTGAAGAGGAGTCTTCTTCAGCGGGTCGCTTCTTAGCTCGCATACGTTCTCGGAGCTTGTCGAAAGCAGAGCGAGGCTTGTCTTTCATGGAGAGGTCATACATGCTGGCCGTCAGGTTGTGTCGCGTAAACTGGACAGACAACTGAAGCTCCCCACGCTCTTTTTCCTTTTTGCCCGTTTTTGAATGGAGCCTGTGCCACCTGTGGACGATAATGAGTTGAGGAACAGTGTTAAAAAGATGCATGGATGCCAGAGAATAACTCTGTATTTACAGTTGAAGTCAGAATTATTTGCTGTCCCCGTATATTTTGTCACCCAGTGTCTGTTTAACAGAAAAAAGTTCTTTTTTAACACATTTCTAAACATAATAGTTTTTACCTCATTTATTTTATCTTTGCCATGATGACAGTACATATAATTTTACTGGATATTTTTTAAAGACACAAGTATTCAGCTTAAAGTGGAATTTAAAGGCTTAACTTGGTTAATAGGGTAAATTTGGCAAGTTAGAGTAATTGGGCAAGTCATTATATAATGATGGTTAGTTTTGTAGACAATTGTAAAAAGAAAATAGATATTGCTTTAGGTGATTAATAATACTGTCCGTAATTTAATAATGACCTGATTTTTAATCTGCTTTTATTCTAGCTGAAATAATATTGGAAACCTATGGCTATTTCAGAGCAAGATCAATATAGAAAAAAAAAAACACATTAGCTTTATAATTCAATAATAGATCATACAAAACTATAATTAACTATAACTTTTACATTAAAATACTGGGCAACCTTTACTAAGGTCTCAATAGTTAGTTAATGTATTTATTAAATAACTAACAAATAATGAGAAATACTTTCTACAACATTAAAACCCAAATGTGTGCTTGTTAACATTTGTTAATCCACAGTGAGCTAACATTAACTAAAAATAAACAACTTTATTTCGATTAACTAATGTTAAAAACATGACAAACATTGCAATAAATGTGTTATTTTCATGTTAGTAAATGCATTATTAGCAAATACAACCTTGTTGTAACGCGTTACCAAAACTTTAGATATGTTTTTTTAGTTCGATTTATGATAAATTAATAAATGTATAGTGAACAGTGCTTTAAGCAAGAACAATACAAAAAGTAATTACAATTTTTGCTTTCAAGGTTATAATCGGAGGGGGGGGGGGTTCCTTGTAAAATATATTTAGACTTCTCCCTCTTTCTAACAAAGTTCTTAAATTAAATGTTCTTATAAAATTTAATGAAAAATGATATAAAAAAAAAACAATTCATTTGATACGTCTTTATAAAGTGATTTTAACAATTACAACAGATAATTGGCTAAATGAAACATACTCAATGAAAGGTCTAGGAGGAAATTTTGGGGGATGCACCAAAACAAAGATCAAAACTGTAGTTGCCATCCACATCCTTTTATATTTGATCACTCGTAGACCCACACTAAGTCAGCAGCCACAGAAATCTGCAGATTTAACCTACTGTTGAGTCTATTTATTTATCTAGTCTATTTGACTTTTTAACAAAAGGGCACCTAGGTTACCCCTTTTTTCAGATTTAATATAAGTCTTTTGCATCTCTAGAATGTGTATATAAAGTTTCAGCTCAAAACACCCATCAGATTTTTCATTATACCTTTTACAAGATGCTGTTTTATACACAATTCCAGCAGAGTTCTGCCTGCCTACTGTTTCTACGTGCCTTCCCGTGTGCTTTAATCTCCTCCTTCGGCTGCGTCAGACAACAGACAGACTTAAAGGAAGAAGGTCTCACGTAGCGTTTGTGAGAAATACTACAGAAAGAACTAATCTTTAAAAATTACAATTTGTTGTGAAGTTGCATTGCTGAGTCACACACAATATCGTTACAAGTTCACGGGCGCGCACACACATACACACAGAGAGATACACACGCACACCGCAGCTGACACACACACACACGCGCACACACACACACACACACACACACACACACACACACACACACACACACACACACACACCTCTCTTATGACCTGTATGCATGTTCCCTTTAGGCCTTTGTAAAGCATAAATATTGTAAGGATATGAAAAATTATGTTGATGTACTTTTAACCCCCCCCATGTTTGGTACTGATGGGTTTCGGCTGACATTTTACAACACATGATGCATAGAGCAAGACCATAACTCGCATTGCTTTATTCTTTAAAGCCCTATATTAAATGCCTGTCCGCATGCTTTAGGCGGACACTCAAATTTGCATACGAGCAGCCTCGAGACAAAGGAAGGTTCGCGCGCAAACTTTCCCCTGAAATCATTGGTCAGAATGCTGTACGGGTTGTCACGTGACCCGCAGGTATAACCAGACTTCTGCCCAAACATCTGGGCAGAAAAGCGTGCGAACAAAAGAACATCATTGACGGTGGCCCTCGGGCCACACGGCTTTTCTAAGCCGCATGGACTTTCTCCCGTAACGCTTTCTTTATTTTCCGGCAAAAGTAAACTCAGTTTAAAGTTTGCAATCGTGTTCGTCCGAACTGCATTACAAACTCCACGCATCAAGAAGGACATCAAAAAGAGTTTTCACCACGACGGAAGAGAGACGCATAAGAGAGATCTCCAGACATGAAAGTCCAGGTGATTTTAGTTATGCGATTAAGCTGTGCCCCTTTTATCAAAAAGGTGTTTTTTTATAATCTTGGTGGTCCTGAATGGTGTGGTGGAACTGAAAGTTTTGTCACTCTTTTACCTGAAATCTCTATTCCTTACTTTACTATTTCTCTTTGTTGTTACACGTTCTATAGACCCGATATCTCCACGTGGTTTACCTTTTTGTTCTGTGTTTAATGTATGTTTGTGCGTTTGTTCGTTATCCGTCTGACTAGTCAATAAATTCTATTATAATCAAATGAATTGTATTGTTTGCCTCATGAGAAAATGTCACTGAAATACAGATTCCCCTGCCAAGCTATTATAAGTTGTTTAATACTTGTGAATGATTAATCTACTTCACAAGAAGTAGCAATTAAATTCCCTTTTTCTAAAAATGAATAGATTACCGTGTCTGCTCGGAAGAGCGGCGGCTCTGCTTGTGTTTATTTGGTCAAATTAATTGATCCGGAATTTTAATGATTAATAATAATTCGTTATTGTTGATAATTAATATTCATAATCTGGGAATCCGCTTGGTCGCGCAAGCATGATCATATACAATCATATGTTTGTTTGACCAAATTGACTGAAGCTTAAGCCGGAATATTAATAATTAAGAATAAACCGTTATTGTTGATTATTAATATTCATAAAATGAGCTAATTTCATGTTACAACAATTAAGACAACACTCTGATTAAAAGTCTTCCATTTTTGATTACTTTAATTCAATTAAAGTCATAATCTAACTAAACAGAAACTAAAAGGCATGTGGATTATATTTTAGTTGCAATATTAAAGTGCAGTAGAGACATGTAAACACCTTAAATCAAACTATTACCAATTTGTAGTACATTTACTACATATTGGGACAGGCTATACACATGGCAGTTGTCAGGCATTTGACAACAAACAATTGAGAATAACTTAAAGCAAGAGAGCACATTTTTGCTGCAAGAGGGAAACAATGATTATAGTGTGAATTCTGGAAGAAATGGACATTTTGAAGTGCCTCAGAGTTTGTCGTGGGGCATGAATGAAAAGTTAGTGAATGAAATGGGGGGAAAAAGAAATTATCTGCTGTTGTCACCGTAGGACTAATGTTGCTTTCACACCAGACGTGGAAGAAGCATCAAGCGCGAGTGATTTACATGTTAAGTCAATGAAAAGACGCAAATAGACCTGTGGCACAATACGAGCGAATGACGCAATTCGCGTTAATAAAGCGGTGCGAATTGAGCGTTTTCTGGAGGAGTTAATGAACTCAGAGCTGGTGCACATCAGAATGCATCTAGTGAACTCAGACATGGCTACAAACGAATCGACGCTGTTCTTCAGCCTTCATAAAAGCACAGACACAGCTATTCTCTCTATGAAATCCATGTTAGCCATTTAGCAAAGAAGTTACAATCATCAGGCAGACAGAAGCTCTGCCCCTGACACGAATCCACGTCTATTGTAAAGTGAATTTGACGCGCAAATGAAGCAGATTTGATGCACAAATGAAGCGAGTAAACTCAAAATGTTCACGCATCTATTTACACAGAAATTTCGCAATTTAACTTTGCATGCCGCATCTGGTGTGAACACAACATAAGGGATTAAGAACATGATGTTTTTAGGTTTAACAGCTGTTTGTGACTATGAAGGGGGCACAAAGGGACGGGATGTGAACAGACAGAAATATAGAGTAGCTGTAAATACCCTGCCACTTGTAAATGAAGATGACAAGCTTTATAATCATTGTAAACTTAAGTGCAATGAGGATTCACCTAAAAAATTCTAACTAAAGAAATAAAAGACAACTAAAAAGGAAGCTCAAACACACAAACACAAATAAACAAATAAGCGTGAGAAATTAACTGAAGTTGACCTTGTTGCAGAATTAAAAACAAAACGCTCAAAATCACATATGGTGCCATGATGAACATGAACTATTATTGTGTGAAACGCCGGAGGAAACTAGCATCAAATGGTGACGTAACTATATCCTATACTATAACTATATAACATGTAAAACAGGAACATAAAAGGAGCATTTAAAAAGCAACTCATGTAAACATCTTGATCCTATAATTGTCTTGTTCAGATTAATGCAAATAATTTGATTATTTGAATGTTACAAACTCATTCAAGTACCCCAAAAATGCTGGTTATCCATGAAAGACAAACATATGGGGTGACAGGATTGTATGGAGAATCTCAATAAGCAATTCAACACTGCAGCTTGAATGATGTATGTAAACAGCTCAGGCACTTCCGGTGAACTGTTACACCATTACAAACTCATTGCTTTTAAGAGCTGTTTAGTTAAAAATGAATGATCTTCACTGCCTGATTGAGATATGATATAAAGTGAGTCTAACACCAGACAATAAGCACTGAATTAAATTCCATTGTTTCATACCATGCTTTTAAAATATGGAAATTTATTTTAAATAATAAATATTAAAAACATTAAATAAATGTTTAGGTCTATTTCATGGACTATATTTTGATTAAATTACGTACATTATCGAAGCTCTAAAGAGTACCTGGTTTATCTGTGGTTGAAAAA